AGAAGTACACTTATCTGCCTGTGAAATTTCTAGATGCTGCACTTTGAATTCTCTCTCCGTTTTGTTATTTTATATTCAAAAGATAATCGTTGATGAGTGTAACATTCAAAAGTTGATAAAATTTTAAGTCAAGACTTAATACAGTATTAATCGTGTCGCACAATTTGCTTTTAAATCCAATCTCTAAAAAGTTTAAAGAAGAAAATAAACAATTCGCTTCGAAGAAACTTACGAATGAAATTTTACTTGAAATGTAAACGATCTACGAATTGTCTATGGAGAATTAAAAAGAAATATGAAATTATAGAAGAAATATTCTTTAATATTATGAAATCATAAAATCATAAATTATAATTTGTCAAGTCAATCAGTTGAAGTTTCACGAAAAAAAAAAATAGAAAAATAGATAAAGTATTGTACATCGTTTTCAATACTTCTTTCAAAATTTAAACTGAAATATATGACAGTAAAATGTATTATTACAGACGTACAGTGAAGATCATAATTGAATCAACGTCGATGAAAAATTGTTATGTTATAAGATATTTATCATGTTATATATAATTTAATATGTTATAAAATAATTTAAAGCGACGTAATTGCATAAAAATAAATCTTACAACAATTTATTTAGTTTCATTTTAGAACGTAAACTCCTTACTTTGATAATCCTGAGTTCGAGTTTCAAAGATGATTTTACAGCATGTAGCGGGCTCGAGAAAAGTGAGCATATTTTTTTCCGAAAATTATAAAAATTGAAATATCTGTAAAAACATTAAAAAATTTTTTTCATGACTACAGCAACCATCAAAATCAAAAATCGAAATCTCTTCTTTACTTTGACTCTTTAAAACTTACTGTATGATTTTTTTCGTTTGACCTTAATATTTAAAGTTTAATGAAATGGTGAAAAATGAATGATGAAATCATACAATAAATTCCAAGGGATCTCATTAAAGGCAAGACTTTAATCGTTAAAGTGGTGATAAATCTAGTCGTGAAAAAAATCTTTTCATACTTTTACAGACACGAATTTTTGAATTTTTATAGTTTTCGAGAATAAAAATATCCTTATTTCTCCATCCGCTACATAATGTATAATCATCTTTGAAAAAAAAAAAGAATTCAAGACTGTTAAAATAGAGACTTTATGTGTTAAAATGAGGTCAAACGAATCGTTATACGGTCTTGTATTACAAAATTTAAATTATCGGCAATTTTTCATCGTTATTGGTCCAATTACATTCTTCGTTGTAGCTTTTATCTAATGGCACGCAAAATGCATAAAATAGCGCGTCCTTGGAACAGTAACTTTGCGTAATTTCTTCTGAAATAAATTATTTATCAAACAAATTTTTGTTCAATTGCTAAAAAAAATCTCTTTCAAATGTACGAAATTAAGCATCAAGTTGACACTAAAAAAATTAAAAAAAAAAAAAAGACTCAAAAAGTGTGATTGATCTCTTCCCATCCCTCGATAATGTTCAACTTAATAATATTTTAACTTTTAAATGTAACTGATTTTTTGATCACTAAAATCCTTCTTGCGTCAAATTTGCAATATAGCCCGATTTCAGTCGGTAATTGATGCGAGCAATTAATCTCGGCGCACCCACGGTAATCGCGATACTCCTCATCGGCGCAGGCGCGCGTTCCCCTTCGTTGAAAACATTTTCACTGTCGGCGAGGCGCGACAGGTGCTCGGTCCATGCCAAAGCAAAAGCGCAAGCCAGGCCCACACCTCTCGTGAAACATTACAATTCTTAGCTGCGCGATGGACGTTACGAAACCGTGAGACCAGAACGCCGACACGTGTGGGTATTTTCAATCGTCTCTTCTATTTGCTGGCAGAGTACGTTCAACGGTCCGAGCGAATCGCCTCTCGTCCTGGCCAGACCGATAGATGAAGGCGATCGAATCGAGTCACCTCTCGACGTATTTTTGGGCAAGCACGTGATACACCGTTCTCCACCTAGTGCACAAGCTGCAGAGTAGGCCCTCGCTACCAATCGTCGAAATTTTCTTTTTCAATCTTCCTTCATCCTTCCGCAAAATATTTATTTCATCTCGAGGATTGCGTAGCTTGCGATTTAGTGGATTTCGTAAGAGAGCCAAGATATACGAATTTACGTGGATTTTCGGGAATTGATGATCATTGGGGTTCGTTAAGCTCGGAAGATTTAGTGATTGTGAAACATAGAATTAATAAATTTAACGATTGATTATTTTTCGCCCTAAGGAAAATATGAAATCCATATTGATTTCACGAAGGCTGAGTTATTCTGTTAGTAGCGAAATTTTTAGTAGAAGTTTAAAAAGTATCCGGAGACACACGAGCCCCTCCGCTGACGAGACGCGTAAGTAGAAAATTAGGAAAAATGAATTGTTGTAAAATAAAATTGAGAATTATAAAAATGGTAAGTACTGAGAATACTTGTTTCATTTATCTATTTAACTTGCGTATATTTTATTTTATATTAATAAAAAGTAAGAGTGAATTTTTATATAGTGAGTAAATAATGGCATTTGATTATTTATCGTTACTTTACCATTAGTATATTAGTATATAATTACTACTCTTCTCACTTTACTTCCTTACAATAAAGCTACAGCTGTTTTTTAACTTGTTATAAAGTATTACACGAAGTCCAATTTTCATGATTAAAAAAGGGAAGTCTAACTTTCATAAATAAATATTTAATTCACTTATCAACTAAGGGACTCGTATGAAGGAGCTATAGTCTTGTTAGTAAACCTAATTAGTAAAACTAGTTGAATGCTCAAGATTAGTCTTCTCTCATCCATTCTTTCTCTTTTTCATCACTGTCCACAAAATGCATGAACCGAGAGATGAAGGGAATTGGGACAGGCTTTTGTTTGTTTCGAAAAAAAAAAGCAGCAACGCAACGGCGATTAGATAATTAATACCGATTGCTGAAGAGAATTTCAAAGATGAACAATAATCTAAGAATGTTCGTCATAGAAATTGTGCCTGTAGAAACGAGAAAATGACGAATTTGGTTCACCCAGTTCCATAGAGACCTCGTTTCTAGCGCTCGCGACCTTTACATTAACAGAGTCGTTGAATCGACTCTGAATGCGAAGAAGCCGAAGAGTGAGATCTCGGGAGCTGTTCCACCTGCCACCGGACACCAGTGTGACCAAGCTGACCGTCCGGCAGCACGCCCACACGAATTGCTACTGTGTTATTTCGAGTGTTTTAGCCTTGGGTGGCGGCCAGAGAAAACTTTTGAAATATCAGGGAACGTTTGGCCTCTTCCTTGGCCATCAGGATTTTCGAGCTAAGTACAAAGTGGCACAAGTGGGTTCTTTGAGTAATTGCAACGGGCATGCGATTGACACAGCCTCTTTTCCATAGAACGATCATCTCCTTATTGAGAAAATCATTTAGTTTGTCTTATTCACTCTACCAGACTGCGGATTTTTATCATAAATCATATTTTTATGGAATACAATTGGAAAAGTAGAAAATTGGCTACGAAAATGTTTTACGTATCAAATATTATAAAAAGCACTGTATTTTGAATATTTCATGCATTTCTTTCTTCATGTTACATGCATTTCGTGCAATTTTATATATTCTAATTCGCATCATATATTTTTAGTGTGGATGATTTAATTAAAGATCAATTTTTTGATCGAAATATTCTCTCGAAGATTTTGGAATGTCATCGACGTCACTATTTTCTTAAGGAGACCTCACATATTTGAACATCGCTTAATCGAAACCATGAATCTTGGATCATTTGCCAAGATTACAACGATATTTACGATACGATCTATTACGTGTTATTTCTTGTTCTTTGTTTTCGTTTCGTCATACGAATATAGCCGTCCGAATATGTGTAATATTTTCATTTTATTTATTTTCTAAAAGATTCTAACACAGTAGCTCCTAAAAAAAAAAAAAAAAACTAACATATACATAAGACAGACTACACACATATCTGTATATAAGAATAAGGGACATTAATTCAATTGCACATACTTCAGCAATAATCTACATGTGCAGAAAGGAACAAGAATGCACGAGATTGTTAAAAGAAAAATAGAAAAGAAAAGAAGAAAATATGACTAGCAAAATTTCGATAGATCGTAGGCAAAGACAGGGGTGATTGGATTTTTCACGAATGCAGAGGGATTTGGCACAACGGTGAATAGATTCCTTGACAAAAACGAGCTCTGGCCCGGAACGTCGACAAACCAGAACGAGAAATAATAATAACAGCTCACAGTAAAGATTCCACTCGCGATTTCGATCTAACATTTAAATAGATTCTGCAGCTGGTGGTCGCGTACGAGCGTAAGAAACGAACAGAGACAGAGGCGGAGGTACTCTTTCTGAGCTGACTGATCTGTGGGAACCTAACCGAGGCTTGTTTTATTTTTTCATTTTTCTTTATATTCTTTACATTTCCATTTTATTTTTATATTGTTTCGATCGTTGACGATCTATTGTGTAGGCTCGTAATAATATTATCTTGTTAGAGGAAATTTATTTAATTTTTGTCTATTTATTTAGAAAACTACGATTTTTATATGTTACACTATTTATTTATTTATTTTGACTTGACATTCATGCAATTATATCATTTGTAACATCGCGTTGTTTGCAAAAGTTCATCGTCCACGTTTAAGGACAAGGAAACAATAGTAAATGATTGAAGAATTAAACCATGATTTTTTGATACAAAATTATATATTTAAAAAACTAACTTACAAAAAAGTATATCATCAAAAATGGCACAAAAGTGGAATTTAATTTTTACTGTATTCTGTATAGAGTATATATCTGTATATGCAAATATACTTGATCATTTCGTGACTTAAATTCTTACAGTACCTCAATTATTATCACTAATTATACAATAAATACAGCAAAAACAATTATTGAGTTCAGATACGCGTTAGAAATATTTTTTTAATAACCACATAAACAAACCCCCAAATAGAACAGCTCCACTCCTGTAATTAAAAATGATTCCTAATTAAAAATAGTTCCTGACACAGTTCTTTGTCCCGTTTGATTTCTTATAGAAAGCAATGTAAAAATCTTTGAAAAATGTGAAATCTTTAATCCACTGCCTTACGATTATCTTTTCAATCTTCTTAGATAATCATTGATTATTATAATTTATTACATCATATTGACATTACGTCTGTATAATTTATTAATCTTTAATTTAGAGAATTAAAATTTCAAATTCGATAAGACTAGAAAAAATCAGAACAACGTACTATGAGCATGATTCAATATCGTTTTAACAAGAAATTAAAAGCTTGAAGGCTTAGAAAATGTAAAAAAATCTAAAAATGAATTTTTGGAGGAAAATGTAATAATTGTGTCTATCTTTAAGCAATCAATAGTGTATTGATAATCCTATTTTCGATCAAAGTTCGATCAATCTGATTAATTTTTAACTGCGTGTAGAATACATATAATTAATGTATATTAATGCAATTAATATCAAGGAAAAACCGTTATATGATGTTCATTTCGAAATAATTTCGACAGACATTGAGAGACGAATCGAATTCGACAATTTTATAATTTCAGCATTAGGTAATGATGCGATGGACACGAAAGCTTCGCAACAATTATTGGCACCGCGACAATTATCTTCACTTATGCATCTACGGTAATCTTGGTGCTAATTAGAGATTCTGCAGTCACACACAGATCTGTGTGGAAGAGTCATTAATTTGTTTGACGTAACGCGGGCTCTGTCTCGTTCGAGCTGAAACACGACGATCGAATTTAGGCCTCGCCGGTGTTGTGATAGTGTCACGATTCATGCAGAATTACTGCAATTCTCAAAATGTCACGGACGACAACCAATCATTTAACGACATGCTCATTTTTGAAATAATAATAATTTTTTGATCGAATGACAGTCTAGTCAATTTCGATTTCCAATAAAAAAATTATTTCCAAGTCGTTTTAAAATCAAAATTTTATTAAAATTTCAAATGCTTCGCGTATATCTAAAATATAGCAAAAATTCTAATAACCGAGATTAATTTAAAATAACATTAATATCTCGAATAAGAATATTAATATTATTATTAGAATTTTAGATGCTCATTGTATTTAGATACTTATCTAATGATGAAAACATCTTGTGTGACTGTATTAGTATATGAAAAATAGGAAATTTTGCAATAACGTACCACAAACCAATGGTGATGTGTTTCGCGTGTCTTAAACGGCTGTACGGTGTCACCTGAATCTCCGAGTTGTTCTTGAAAAACTGCAATATGTTTATCGCGCTGCAACAGAATTTTTCAAGCGACCACGATTTATAATACATTAATAATACATGGGTAAAAATAATTTCGTATCGATCACGTTGAGCAACCTGGCCTGATCGACGCGTGTTACAAAGCAAGCTTGAGTTACAATTTTATTAATAACATCAATAAAATTAACAAATAAGTACTTGCTAAATTCAATTTGCCCATTATTTAATCAATAACCCTTTTACTATTCATTCAGCCACATTATTCGACGTTACTTTTACTGATATGCTTATTGAAAGATTTCCAAGAGATTTTACGAATAAATTTACACAATACATATGAATGTAATAGAAAATTCAAACATAAAGAACGCTACGGGATAGAATCTTAAATACTGTTTATAAATTTGTGAAATTTGCGGAATTTAATTCAACTGATCTATAGTTCGCTAAACTAATTCTCTGTTGCGAAACAAATCTAAGAAATTCGCCCAATAATATAAAAAAACTGCATAATCATAAAATTATAATTTAATACATGGCGATAAACAAATGTTGTTTAGTAATTGAATGCTGGAAGAATGCCAGCAACAAGAGAAATTTGACGTTTATAATATATGAATACGAGATGCAAGCTGCGAATGAATTGTGCCGGATGCTTAACGCTAACGAAAGAAACTGCATCATGCTCGTGAGAATGCACACTTGATAGCGGAGCACTAGATAATTCATTTCGATCTAATTCGGGTTCGATGAAATCAGTCGATCTGATTCGCGAGCATGCGACAAGTTTTGCGAGTTGAACGGTTCCATTTCGCGATCAAAGTTATTGGTATCAAATTTGTTTTCTCAAATATATAAGAAGGTTGATATTCTCAATAATGATTATACGTTTATGCATACATATGCCTTTTGACGATCAAAATTAACAAAATTGTAAACTTTATATTACAACACATTTCTATATTTTTTTCTTTTTATTCTTTGAATATATTTATTCTATTAATTGCCATTCAGTTCAAAGAGATAGATTTAATAGGTCTTCTACTAAATTAATAATTTATTATTATTTTATATTATTAATCGTTATTAGTAGTTGAAACAATAAATGTTAGGGCGCAATGAAAATTTATGGTAGAAAACAGTAGGATGTAACGATTTTGCGACAATAATACTCATATTTAAGTGCCTGTTATTTCGATGGCTCAACGAATGAAATGTAAACAAGCTTCTAATTGATTTGCCTAAGATGATATCAATACTGATGGTGGTTTGTGATTTTAAGCTGATGAAGAATGAAGAAAACGCGATCGATTGCTCGTTCGATCCGGCCGAAGAAATAAACCACAAGCCAGAGCTGCCAGTTAGAACAACTCAATACGTGTATAAAATAAGACATTATGATATTAACTAGTTGTCAACGCATCATGTTCATATCACATTCTATCTGCATCGAAGATTAATATTATGAATATCATGATGATATTATGAAACACAGTAAATGTAATTTTTATTTTAAACGTACAGCAAAATATGAAGTATTTAATAATCGAATGAAATTTGAATTCGTGCAATTAATTTATTTTTTGAAAATATATTCTTCAAGCAGAAGAGTTTAATGTATACCAAATTATAATTTGATATAAGAACACCAACGAGACGTGCATGATCTTCAAGAGATCTTAGGTCGTTCACCTTTTCCGCTGATAATTATAGTTTTCCTACTGATGCTCTACTGACAAGACGTACGATTATAATTAATCCGTTTCCTGGTAATGCTATATTGGTCTCGTTACGTTTTAGAAGCGTAGCTTCTAAAGAAAAAATACTATGCTTCTGCTGGTATTTATTGGAGCCTTGAAACGAACGTCTCTTACCTGTTGCATTTCTGAAGAGGATTATATATAATCTATGCATCTAAAATCTTACAAAACAATACGCGGTTAAAATATCAAGAGCAAATTAACTAGGGCAAAATTTGGCAAAACGAAAATTCGGTTACGTCATATAAAATCACGTGCATCGATATCACACTTTGTAAGTGCAATGATGAGTATACGCGATTGCCCTTGGATAAGATCCAAAATAATTCCGGCACCTTACTTCGAAGAGCTTCATACTAAAATACCAACTGCGTACTTAATACCTAATTATATTTGCTTGGTGCGTAAAGTATAACAGAAAAATAAAGAAAATAATTCGAAAGAAATAATACATATTTGAAATGATTACTACATATCCTACACATTAAGAGTCTCGCACGAATTCATATTTGCTTCTTTCCTTTAATCTCGCCTCATTGTTTTGTTAACCTGCATACCGTAATATGTAAAATATAAAATGGGATTCTAGGAACCTATGTTAGCTTGACGACTAACAGTGAAGATACTTATACTGTAACATCATCGTTGTAAATCGCACATATCTCGCACGAATTCGCCATATTTACCTTTTTCTCTTGATCTCACCTCATTGTTTTGTTAACTTGAATATGTAATACGTGATATGTAAAACATAAAATACGAGTTTCTAAGAACCTGTTTTGCGTCAATTCGACGATTAATCATGAAGATATTTGTGCTGAACGAAGACAAAGTTCAAATGTGTTTCAAGCTAAATAAGTTGATTATCTAACAATATATAGCTGCATACTTTTATCATTTGCAGATTAATTGCAGATTAATTGCGTTTCGTTGTTTGTTACTATTTTTAAAGGATAACGGAGATATGTTTTGTCAGATTATGGATCAACATTAAAATTTCTTATATTCTTAATCATTAAACATTTCTTTTGTTTTATGATAAAAAGTATTGCTAATCAAAGCAAAAATTATACTAACCTATTATGATTTGTGACAGCTACTAAAAAACACCTATGAGCAAAAGGCATTACATCTACTGTACCAAAAGATGAGAATTTGTTTATTAACTGAAAAAAGAATAAGTACAGATTAATATAGTTTTCAAATACAATTTCATATTTGAGAATACCTCCTTAATATCTATAGATGGTGAGTTTAATTTGACGTGAAGCCATTCTGGTCTTGAAAATATTGGATCCTCCCCATCAAATTGCTAAAAATTTATACTGTAGTTAAAATATTATTTTAAACGTATGTTTTATAATTATAAAAATGTATTTTTCTTACCATATACATTTCATTGCTTCTTGCTATATTTATAGAATTTACAAATTTTTTTACAGAGCTCATTAATTCAGAATGTGTTACTATTCTTTCTTCTAAACCTCTAAAGACAACAATATTATTTATAACTGTTTAATTGATATTATTATCAATTATAATATGAATATAACATAATTATGAAACATACGTTCCAAATTTTTTTACACAAAATAAATGTGCCATTTTCACAAATATACACCCCGCAAAATAAGCATCCCAGCCAGCACTGTGATAACTTTTCTGATCTAGAATAAAATTTGAAATAGATTTTTATATAATGATGAAATAAAGTTGAATAAGTTATAAAGTTAAATTACTTGAACATTCTTCATTAAGGACAATGTTTGGTGAATTGAAACTTAAAACTCTTCCTGTGGTCGTAAAATATTCGTACAGAATATTCAGTGAATTTTGCTTCCAGTTCACTTAAAACAAAAATATGTTCTCAAGTTTATACATATAAATTATCTTTACAAATATTTTACATTTATATCATCTTTACAAATGTTCTTTACCTTCAGTTTTATATAAATTCCGCAATTTGAAACTTAAAAATTTTGTGTCATATATCTTAGGAAACAATGTATGTATATTATTTTTGAATTCTGTGTATGAATCTGAAACATATATAAAATTAAATTATGTGATTTATCAATTATTGTTATTTAATTTAATTTATTTAATACCTGGTAATGGTTTATAGAATTGTTGATGTATGAACATTAAGTCCAAAAGTACATTATGCCCTACTATGAATTTCTTAGAAGAAGATAAAAGTTTAAATATTTTGGAAAATCTCATAAAAGAATTTAGCAGTATTTCTTCCAAATTATTTTCCTGCTTCGACACATACTCCTGTGTATCAGGTATTGTTTTCAGAAAACTCATCTGAAAAACAAACAATCTTATGTACCTAAACTAGTATCCGAATAAAAATAATACAATAATACATACAGATTTAGTGTCTGATATAGTCCAAATATTATAATTATTTCTTAAGTCTTTATGTAATATATATTGCAAAACAGGATTAATAACTGGCAATTTTAATGTTGTCTGTTCTGACCTGGCCATCCATTCAGAAAGTTGGTTCTTATATTCATTGAGCTCAACTTCTTCTTCAAACGACAAATGTTCTAAAATATTTGCTAAATCGCCTTGTGTTAAATAATCCTTTAATAACTTTTCATCTGGCTCGTTCAGATAACAGATACCATCGTTTAGAAACTAAAAAATTCATAAATTTTTCTATGTAGTATATTTATTATTGCGAATAAATAGATATGTTTTACTCCAAGTATATTATCATAGCTTACTTTATTAAAATCAAAATTATGTTTACAAAGAAAATTTAACGATGTCACTTGCCATGATATTTTTCTATTTTTTAATGGTATAGATTTAGGAAACAAGTAAAAATTAAAGCATTCTGTTTTATAGACATTTTCAGAAGGCACATGGTGAAAAGTTGCAATGCCAAATTGCACTATCGTAAATTGTTGAATATTTTTCTTCAGTGTCTTGTAACGATCATTAAGACTATCAAACAAACTGAAACAAAGAAAACATTAATGTGAGAAAGGGAACAGTTAAAATTGAGATAACCTCTAAATCTAACCTATGTTTCAAATGTTCTTCTGAATATATGCCCGAAAATTCAGCATCTATAGTAATGAAATTTGCATTGTTCACAGCATTCTCTATTTGTGGATATAAAGCGTCAAAATTACTGTCCACAACTTCTTGCATATTAAATTTTATTTGTTTATATATAGCTAACTACTTTTAAACGAACAATCTGTTAAATATAACCTAACTAACCTATAGCACTATTTTATTACAAAAATCTTTGAACGAAATGAAATCAAACAGTTTTATTTAATTCAAATTTTATTTATGAAAATATGATTTTTATAGATTCGAACTTATCAACATCACTGAAGAAAGTAACTAAAGCACAAAATCGCACGTGTTCTCGTTTAGAGATACAATTATGAATTAGTAAACATCGAAATGTATGACTTTCTTTTTATTACATTTTTTATTATTGTTTACTGTACTCTTATTATTCATTAAACAAGACTTCTAATTATCGTGATACATTTGAGCTTAAGCTTAATATTAATATCAATATTAATATTAAATATGCTAATATTAAATAAATTAATGGAATTTATTGAAATGTCACATGCAATATATTAAAATTATAATTATGAAAACTATATATATAACATAATAATTAATCTCAGTTGAAATGTTGAAATCTTTGAAAATTTCAACTCTCAATTATAAAAATAACAGAATCGACTGTTCAACGATCGTGATTACTAATTCCACTTTCTCTAACGAGAATGAACTTACAGCAGCAGCGATTAATTAATCCTCTAATTAACAGCGAATTCAAACTTAATCCATAGTCAGAAATAAAAAAATATTTGAACGTGCAAAACTCGATTTAACAATTTATTTTTCGAAAACCTTCCATTCGAACGATCGCTAATAAATAATAACTTTCTTATTGTTAGATAACAAATAAATCGGATTAATCGACTAAAAATAATCGAACAAATAACAATAAAACTGCGCTTTATTCCCAACTTTGATAATAGAATTCTTCTGTGCAACGTAAAATTAGAAATTGCTGGTAATTTCCTTGTCATTAACAAGTATCATTTATCCGCACTACCTTTTCCATTCCTGACACTCGACTGCAGCATTTCCGTTTGATAGTAATTGTCGCTGTCTATATATGCAGCTGCGTGTCAGATATCCAACAGTTGTTGACAGTCTTGACGACAGATACAGGCATCTTCCGTGTAGAAGCAAAAAGTGACAGAAGCGCGCACAACCGAGGTGGTAAACGTGTGTTTCCGCAAGATGATCTTTCCTTTTTAATCGGTAAACAACTCTCTCTCTCTCTCTCTCTCTCTCTTTCTTTCTTTCTTTCTCTCTCTGGCAATGAACTTGCCTCTACCGCTGGTAGTGTATCCGCGGCTACGAAACTAGCCAGTTCGGTCTGTTGAACGTGTCGTTCTTTCAGTTACTTGAGCCGAGTGCACGTCGTCGAATACATAGGATCCTTGAACCGAGGTACAGTTCACCAACGATGTTCTTCAGGTTTGCTATATTCGTCGGTTTGAGTTCCGTCGTCGCAACCATAATCTACTTGACGCCTATACCAGGTTAGTGCTATTTGTTAATGTTTCCCTTCTTTTTCAAATTTTTCGAAAAATTAATAATTAATCGAGATACGCGCGTGTTCGTTGTATTTAGGAAGAAATTTAATAGTTGAAACGAAGTAGTTGAAATAAAATTGAAAGTTGAACATTGTTTGTTGTGAGCGATGGATTCTTATTTAAATCGTTGCAACGTGTCTCACATTGAAACTATTTTATTTTCGATGTGAGATACGCGACGTAACATAAAATAACGAGTTTCGATTGTGTAGTTCTGCAATAAATATGAGAAAGTGTTTTGTTCGCCTGTATTGCAATGTAATATCACGTATTGTTGCTTTTTATAATTATAGATTATATTTATTTGGAAAACTGAGAATATTGATTGAAATTTTGTAAAATTAAAAAATCAATGGTAGAATAGATATTCAACAATAAAAGATCAAATGATTCGTGATGCACGATGAAAGGTTCAGAAATGTTGTTTATTTACTATTACTGAACATGCAAACGAATTAGATCCATGAGAAATCGTCGACACATACTTTAGAAAATACTTTACGTCGAATTTATCAAGGTGAATGACCTCGAATCAAGATTCAGCAGCTCTTAACTGTCGTTGATATTCACACACAAGAAGTAATATCTATTGTAAAAAATGTAACAACCGTTATGTATGCCAGATGCGATTCAACTCACATTATGTCATTTCATCCTATCACTAGATATCGTGGCTCGTGGTTTTATTATGAGATTGAAAGAATCTCTGACGTTTATCCGAACATTTTTACATGCAATAACAACTTTTTACATGCGTCAAAATATTTTTTATATATAAAGTTCCAATCCAATCACTTAATATTTCTTTTACTATTGTTATCATCGAAAAATCTTTATTACTTTCTTTGGTATCATTTCTGCCATCGAAGAAATATAAATAAACGTAAAATCAGAGAAAGGGAAAATTATTTTGTTAATTTATACATGAATTAAAGTTAAAAACTTCGAAAATCAATTTTTTTTCTCCTCGCTGAAAATCTCAATTTACAGATAAATAAATATCCACGGACTAGCAGTATTTCATCGCGTGTCAAGCGATTGTACGCACATACATATACTTATCGAAGTGGACGAAAGTTGCGCGAGAAAGCGCGCCAAACATTATGCCTGTCCGCTCACAGACTCAGTATGTACCATCTTCGCTTTCTTCCGCATTCGATACTAGCATCTCTATAACTTCGAATTTCAGTCTTATATTAATACATACGACTCGGACCAGTCGAACTTTTTTTCTTATTTGCGCAGTCTTCATTTACTTGTACGTGAAATCACGATCGTGTACTTCACTTTCACCATCGAACAACGATATCGTGCATGTAAACAGAATTCGAGAATACACGCGTTTATAGAAACTTGTTTTACAACATTCGATACCTGCTATATTCTTCTTGTATACTTGTATATATCTAAAAAGGTCATAGGGAAATCGAAATCATTTCTTCTTTCGTAACATCGAATGTAATAAATCACTTTCTTCCTCGACGAAAGAAACGGAGAGTCGTCTTGAAACATTGTCATTGTCTTCGGAGCGACTAGACGCGCAACGAAAAAAAACCTGTTTCAATTGTGTGTGTCGAGGAAAGTAATTCGTGAGGAGTTGCATAACTCTGCAAGCGCCTCCTTTTTCAACTGGACGGTTTCCTCGGTACAAAGACGCTTGAACGATTTTAAGCCGCGCTGCGGTCTGTTTAGTTAGGCTCGCGAGCACAAATCATAAAAGTCTTCTTTAACATGTAAAACAGAACAGGATAGCACCATAAGACGCTGAAAGCCGTGACGTTTGTTGAAATTAAAAGTCCAGCGAGTAAGAGAAGCTTGAGAAGAAGAATTCAAACAACGGCACAGCCACCCCTCCAGCGTAAAGTGAAAGCGAGCAAATATTATGCCGGGATTGTCTCGAACGCCCCGTATAAACTTTATATCTTTGTATCTTTTTCAATGGATATTTCTTTAATCCTAATCTTTTGTCGAGGTTTTTCTGTTGCGAATTAATGAAGAAGTCGCTCTTGCACACGACAGGATCAATGAAAAAAGCGTTAAGCTACGGCCGGTGAAACTTAACGCGCGCGAATAATCCGTCAGTATGCGTTACATCGATCGGCTTTCTAACGACTTCGAAACGAAATACTTCGGCAACAAGAGGAGAGGATATGTCGCTCGCTAGATTTCCGCGTTTCAGTCATTGCATTTCGGCAAGTTTTTAATTTCACTTTCTCTTTCAGAGAATTCAATAATTACTGTTCCTTCATCAAGATATATATAGGTGAGATTTTGTCAAGAATAGAAATTATTCACAACTTCGATTCAGAAAATACTGGTATCTATGATTAATGCTTATCTATCGACTGCGGCGCAAGAAGAACATTAGTTGAAGAGAAATCGATGATTAGGATAATTCTACTTGTAAGACAGACGTTACATTTGTTACGAATTCTACACAGCTGTTCTATTTAGCAAATTTTTCATCTTGCGAGCATCTTTTTTTTTTTACAAACTTCACGTGAAATTGACAAGTCTCATCAAATAAATGTTTGGTTCGTATAAAAAAGTAATCGTATAAAAAAGTCTAAATGTAATTTTTTTCGCATTGAAAACATGCAATAACACGCACCATTTACACTTAAAAATCGTTAAAGATCACGCTAATGATTAATCAAGTGATTAATCATCCCGTAATTAGAAATACGATGATATTGTTATTTGCGAGTTCATTAGAGAGTAGACTTCTTCATTAAATATTTATAGTATGTACACTAACCACGAGTCTATAAACCACGTCGATCGTAAAATTTCTTTAGTGGGAAATGTTATCGAAGCTTGACACGACGAGACTGTAATAACAATATTAATTAGCGAGTATTCTAGTTAAACAAATCGTTGTAACAAATAGAAAGTCACGGTGGTATGTATTTAGAAGGAACGATACTCGCTGTACGACTGGATAGGCACTCCGTTAGCACCAAACGAAAGCGAAATTGAAATCTTTTGGCCTGTGAAAGAGGCAAAATCAGAGATGGGTACAGAGAGACAATAAGCAAAAATTATAATTAAAACTGAGATTATAAATTAACGGTGAACATAAATTGCATAGAATAGAAGAATGATAACTATATAAAAATCGAAGACTGTAATAATTATTACAAACAGAATGAAGAAAATTATAGAATAACAATTATTTTTTTGACCAAAATTTGTTTTTGCCTCAATAACTATTGTTGATGAGAGGAATTTATTTCGATTATTCATGTGAGAATTATCAGCGAGGAAAATTTATTTCGGTTCTCTTTTTTCGGTTAATTTATTTTTCTACATCAAAAAGTAATTCTACAATTTCTAAAATGTTCTAATGCAAAGGATTGTTTCCAGTCGAATGCAAAACGATATTTTATGCTTACATTTATGCTTACATTATATCTGAAACAGAATTTTCCTAGTTTATAACTGTTATCAGCAAAAGTATTCCTTGATAGCTGTTATGAGCAACCGAAATAAATTTCCCTAATCGATAACTATTATAAGTAGACTGCGAATTCTTATACATTCATGAGGAAAAAGATACAAAATTCCGCAGAATGCATATAATATGAAAAATACTATATAAAATATTCAAAGTATAATATTTTCATAATATTTGGCAGGAAAAATAATTTTCCATCTAGATTCGATTTTTTTAAATTTTAAATATGACTTTGCATAAAAATCTAATTATAAGCGAATGGAATAGATTTCTTCTCATCAATAATAGTTTTCAGCAATGAAAAAGATTTTCAATCACTGATATGTTGAATATGTTATTATATAACTAGAATGTTTAATTTTTTAATCTTGTAATTTTGTAAAACATTTTTTTACATTTTGAAATTAATACTAATTATTACTAATTTTTTTTATAAAAATTTTTGGGATGAATGTGCAAGTTGAAGGTTACACAGCTGAATGTAGTGTAGGGATGAAAACTGATGGATAAAAGGAATAAGAGCATATCATAAAATCTACATAGACAAATTGGATATAAAGACCAATCAATTAACTCTTTAAATTGAAATAAATTAAAATATGATCAGATTAAAACTTGTAAAAGTTTCGATTGAAATGTATAAATTGCACGATGACTTAATTAACCAACTTTTCAGACGTTAATATCAGTTGGTGGAAATGAATGAAATGAATTAAATAGAGAGGAGAAATGCATACGCAGAGAAAAGGACGAAAATGTATTTCGGTGGAGGAAAATGGAGAAACCCAGAGAAAAAAGTAAAACAAATATGTATGAGCACACATAACCATAGAGGAGCCGAGATATATACCAGCGTGAAGTGGTTCGTCTACCGACTCCCTTCAGGCGAACTTTCACTCGCCATTTCGCCGTCTCTGACACATATTCGATTCACAAATAGTCGTGCGGTTTCGAGAAACGTAGAAGGGGCAGACCACGATTTTACTAAACGATATTGCCATCTGCATCCAGTCGTTGATTGCTCCGAGAGAATTTTAGCAGTGGCTAAACACCGGTGACAAGGCTTGAAGAAGGCAGGGAAGCAGATGAAATGTAGCAACGGAGGAAACAGAGTGAGGAAGGGAGAATCAGATAGAGAGGGAAAAAAGGTTATTTCCAGTTCTGGCAATGAAATTTCGGCCAAAACTGTTGGCTGCTCGTCAGTCGATTACGGAAATCGTGACAGTGTTTTGCCTCCTCTCTTATTTCGTGTTTACATTGGTCTGTGCAGTGAAACTATCAATTTTTTCCTTTCTTTTTTTTTTCTTTACTAACTTTTTAAATTCAAATCTATCCACTCCTCTTCTTACTTTCATTTTCGTTGCCGTTCATTTTCACTTTTGAATACGTCATTTGATTCATTAGTCAATTTGAACTAGTATTTCAATGAAAAATTGAAATTCGGAATTCGAATTTGTTACTGGACTTCCTATTAAATGAATGCATATGATAAATGCATTTGATTTACGAAAAATAGAGATAGATCATTCATTTTAAATAAATTTTTTTATTTGGTTCTGTTTAATTTTTAAAAATTTAAGAAATCGTCTACTAATTGTATCTATTGCATCATAATTTAAAGTTATAATACAATTGTAAATTATACATGAAATTCTAATGCAATAGTATTAGTATTATAATAAATAAATTTTATTATAATAATAATAGTGTTGTAACAAAATTATGATATAAAAAATAATTCTATACAAAGATATAATTATTTGATAATTGTATACCTTTGTGTATAATGGCTTGCAGACTATTTTTTTCTTGTAAATTGACTTTTATTATCTGTGTAATGTGTCATTTCTTTTCTAGAGAAAGAAAGAACAATTGTCGCAGACCATCGTTTCATAATTTTGTTCATCGTTCTCCATTTATTAATCTTATATTGTGAATCTACGAAATTTCAAGCAAAGTGAGAAGGTATGGTTTGTTATCTCGATATTTTATGGGACTGACAACCGGAAAAAATCCACAGAAACTCGATCGCTTTCTTTTCGTTTACGGTTAGTTGCTGATAAAAAAAAAAAAAAGAAAAAAAAAATCAATGACCGATCTGGAAGCGGCACGAGGTCGTCTGCGAGAAAAGCAGAAGGAGAAAGGGAAAGGAAGAGAAAGAGAGAGGACCAGAGTTCAGTTCTGGCTATGAAAATTCGGCTTGCTCAGTTGTTGGAGAACGAGAAAGCGTAACAGTGTTCACGTACATCGGGTTCAGGTTTGACATGGGATTCCTGATCACTGATTTAATCACTTTTGCTTGTTGGAATTCTGATTCAATAGGAACAGCCTAATTGCTTATCTCTCATCTTAATAATCTTTCTCAGTAAAATTGAACTAGATGTAGTAGAGATATAGTAAAAAATTATTTTTATTTTCCGTTAAGAATGTTGAAACGTTTGATTAACAGTTTAATTAATCGTGTTTTAATTGATATAATCGTTGAGTTTTCTCTTTCAAAAATACATTAGCAGATTAACTGTGCTTGAAATCTTTCTTTCATTCATTGGACATTAATTAAAAGTTTTGTTCTCTCTGATAAAATATTATATAGTCAGACAATTTCAGTTCGATGAAAATTAGTGTATAAGTACATAGTGTGATTTCAATTAGTGCACGCTGCAAAGGGACATGTTATATTATGCGAACATTACACAAATTTTTACGTAATGATGCTCGATTTAATGGACACGCGATTGGATGATCTTTATGCATTTCCCTGAAACGTTATTCAACGTCCTTCTTTTTTTGCTTGCCTTCTTACCTGCGATATTTTCAAGGAATATTCATTAAATTACATCATCCACGTTGTACTTTATATAGAAGTCTCTTCTTTTCCTCTTCCTTAAAAATAATAACCTTCCTGAAATTGTTCGTTCTTACTAAAAACTAGCTCTCCGTGAAAGTTTTTCATTTCTAAACAGAGTTTTATGAATTTGAGAATCGTGGCTCACGAAAATATATTTAGGATCTTTTTATGGATATATTACGTGTATTATATAAAACATTTAAAAATTTCGTTTGCAGTGTAGTTAAACACGATTGTCATAATTATATCGATAAGATTTGAAACAAATCTGCTAATGGATAGAGAAATTTTTGTATTTATTATTTAAAATCATGAATTATTAATGTAGCGAATAATTGACTGTAAATATAGTTTAATAATCTCTAAGAAATATAATATTAATAGATATACAATATATATATAAATAATATAATAAATATAATACAATACATATACATATATATATAAAATTTATATATTATATATTATATTTAGTAATATTATATTTTATAGAGATTATCAAAATATTTTAACAGTCAATCATTCGCTATACTAACAATGTAATTTAAGTAATGAGACTAATTGTATATTTACTGTTGTATACTAATTTTGTACGTTTGTAATTTTGACAGCGACTATAATAATCGCGTCTCATTACAATATTAATGAAGTTTTGCATAAGATACATAATATATTCACAAATATTTTCCATAACGCGTGGTCGAATCAGTATTCAGCTATTCCAGATTGTTTATGTATATACCTTTTGTACTACTTGTAAGTTATCGATAAAATATTTTTACAATGATAATCAATCGAGTGAAAGTTCCTTCATGGAATTAATCGAAAGCGTACAAGTAATAAAAAGGAACAACATCTTTTCACTAAATCAGTCAATCAGAGTCGTTAAGCCTTAAGTCATTAGAGTACGTTATGTACGTTTTATATGGTCTTCTCTTTTCGTAGAAGATAATCTCAAATATATACTTTCTGAATTTCATTTTTTCCCCGCTTTCCATATCGACGAAAGGAAAACGAAAATCGAATAAATAATTACTTAGTCATCCACATGAGCAGATGTCAAATAGCTTCGACTTTCATCTTCATCCGGACGATTATTACTTTCGCTTTTTTTCCCCCCCTGTTTCAACAGGCTCACTTTCTCCGCTGCTGACAGAATTTCGTGACAATCTATTTATCAACTTGAACCGCTTGACAGTCTATCCTCGATATGATTAATCTTCTTTTCATTTCATTGATTTCCCTCTATTCGACGTTCTTCTCAATCAATCATCCTTCAAGTTTCGTCTACTTTTGAATAATTGTGTTTCATACGCGTGGTGAAGAAGGGATACGACGAAGGCAATCTCTCAGAGGTCTAAGCAATTTTAAGTTGCTTCGGAGACTTTCTGAGTCGAATGATCGTGAAAAGAATGCAGTCACCTGCTGTTATCGTTGCATAACAAATCGGGTAGACGATGCGGGTATCTACCAGTGCGGATTTGGCGATGATGCTGACCACCTACGGTCTACGATTTCTCGTGGTCGTCTTCACGATCGCGGCGGCCGCCACGTTTTTACACGTGAACAATTACAGGCCCAGTAAGTTTCGTGCAACTTTCTCGACGCAGCTACAAGAGGCATAGAATTTTTACCGACTTTGCGATTCGAATATCACATAATTTTATTCTTAGGCAAAGTAGATAATTTCGTTTATAAGGGAAACAAATAATTTTACTTTTGAGAAGATTTTTATAACTTTGTTCTTAAGAATTTTATAACTTTATTCTTAAGGAAATGATATAATTTCATTTCTGAGAAAGTAACGAAAATAATTTCGTGCATTCTGAATCCCAGTTTGAGGTTGTGATTTAAATAAAATATTGCTCTTATGTCAATTATAGAGCAAATATTCCTCTCCTGCGACAGACCATGTCACCATTTGGATTGGCCGATGATTTGTCGAGTGAAGCTGACTCTAGAAGTGTTCCAATCACTTAGCAAGTAAGATATCGTTTGTTTATTTGCAATTATTTGTAATATTTCTATAATAAGCTATTAATATTTCTGTAATAAACTACTAACCGTACAGATGTTACTATACCAGTATATTCTATGGCTGCAAGTAAAAAATATAAGTTTTACAATTATTATTGGATTGCAGATAAAATGGCCAAATTTATAATATAACTTTCAAGGCTTACAACTTTCTTAAAGTTATAATGATATTAATTAAATTCCAATTCACAAGATTCCATATATTTTCATTGCAGAACAATTTTATAATGATTGTAGAAGTTAATTAATGATTAATGATTGTAATTTATAATGATTTATAATTTTCATTATAAATTTTATAATGATTGTAATTGGAATCTTGTTTGTTACGATTGAAATTGTTGACAATTTTGTGACTCATTGTTCATGTTTGTATTTTCATATAGCTTCGTCTAACTTTCTTATAACTTCATATGACTTTACTTCATACAACTTCCCAGAAACCTGTTATTAGTGTTAGACATGAGTAACTTTTACTTCGTTAAATCAAAGTTTCAAATTTTACAAAAAATATACACGAATTCGACGATCATTTATAGTTGATTCTGATATGTAATCTATCTTTTTTCACAATAAAACCATCAACGAAGCATCAAACTTTTAACTTTTTATAAATGTTTGAAGAATATCATTTAACAGTATTTTTAATTACTACGTTCTAAATGATTTTACATTTTTAAGAAATTGGCCATTTTATATGCAACATTTTAACATATTGTACGGTTATAATATAAATACACATAGATTAATTAAAGCTTTATTAAAAAAAGCTTTATTGTAATAAAAATACGACTATTAACTATACCCATGGAATACACTCGTAAAATTATTAGACCATAGAACTTTCTATACATTAAAAATTAGGGATTGAAATTAACAAGTTTCTTTCATTTTAAAAAAAAAATTATATTCAAGCTTGTATGTTGTTTAAAAAAATAATTGTTCTCGTAAAATTTTTATGGAAAAGAATGAAAAAGAAGTTACAACTTCTTTGAAAAGTCTTCTCTCTGAACAGATATTTCAGAATGTGTGTAACAAAAATTCTATGGAAACAAGTTGTTTTAGAAAAACTCCATTTGTTCAAAAGGTTCCGTGAGATAAAATTTTATTTAAAAATATATCATATTGGTTTAATAAAACATATGAAAATTACAACGCTAGATAATTAATAATTACATAATTAAGCTAAGTAAGTAATTAATAGTTATATAAGAAATATGAAACAGAAAAGACAACTTATCAAGAATAATATCTAGATAATATATTTTTATAACTTAAATGAACTGAAATATATAGAAATTAATTAATTATAACTAATACGTATATTTCTTAACAGAATATATAAATGTACATCTACTATTACTATATTATTATTATACTTAATTTTTGCTCTTCAACTTGACAGTATTATAACTACAATAATATTAACTGTTATAACTACAATAATATATCGCCTATTTAATTTAATTTCACAAGCAATTATTTTCTAAATTTGTAGGATTTATATTACATCTATTATCGTTGAGAAAACACATTCACGAATAACTTTTGTTGCTTTGTAAAGAAACTTATATTTCATTTTTTCCAATAATCTAAAAAATTACTTTCCAGAAGAATCACTTTTAATTTATAGTCGTCAATGTTTCCGAGTGCATCTACATATGAATCATTTACATAAATATTTCAAGTAAAGAACATACTCAGAATATCACCTAAACTGTGAATAATATTCAGTATTTGTTACGATTATTGAAATTCTTTTTTAATATTAATGAATAAATTATCTATTCCTATTACAGACTCCATTTTTATATTTCCCAGTAATTTTTCTACTTCAAAACTGAAACTCTTACATTCAAGGCCCTTTTTCTATCTGTTCTCACCGGAACTTGTTATGTAGGAACACAAAAAACAGTTGCACGCCTCCTCTGTTAAATAAAACTTATTTAACAATTCCAGAACTTTTTCGATCGCTGATTTCTATCGATTCAATTTCCCGTCCTGTAAAAAGGAGAGAGAAGAAGTGAAAGGAGTACAGGAAAAAATTACTTGGTTTTTTCCACAGTATGGATATGAATGCAATTTCGAATACGAACATGTAGCAAAGAAGATATTTACGTATTATGCTTAGTTATATCAATTTCGTAACGATCCTCGCGTTTAGTTGATTCCATTAGAATTATCGACCAAGTTACCAACTCGGACAAACCGTTATGTAATTTCTCAAACATTGGAAACGCGGAAGGCTACCCTATCGTTCACGCTTCGTCCGTAATTGCCGCGATTTATGGTATTCGCAAACACCTGTTTTTCTTGACTGTTTTCAATCTTTGCTCATAGATCATGCGGCGATTGCACGAAGAACGAGACGGCATGTCTGTCCAAGCATTGCGTCTCGGCGGATGGACAGAGACGGGGGATCCTTGCGGCGAATCGTCAGATGCCTGGCCCGACTATTCAGGTATTTTTTAACACGCTGATAGCTGCGGTGGGTCACCGCTCCACCTGCGTTTCTATTCCTCTAAATATTTCAACCGTTTGAATCTGAAAAAGTCCTGTTGGGAAACACCAAGCGGCGCGATATTAGTCTATAAAAAAAAAAAAGAGTCGATTTCACAGGTAATAGTTAAATATCGCCAACTTTTTCATCAGAGAACCAAGTAAGAAAACAATCATTTATAATTTTGGTATTTTATTATAACTTTGTAACAATCTAATTAAGATTTTGTGTTTACATAACATTTTCTTCTTATTTTTAATTATAGAAATAATGGCCAACACCATTTAGCAAATTGAGAATGGAGCACCTTGTTTGCATGGCTCACATAATTTATAATCCATATTCAACAACTTCATGTGTATAAAATCTTCTGTTATTCTTCATAATTTTTAAAGAAAAATATTCAAGGTCTAGTTTCTTGAAAATGAGGCTTCAAACGAAAAAAGTTTATTCTATATTTTTCACTTACTTTTGCACGTAGAATAATCTTCTGTTAATTCTTTTGTGTCACGTCTAAAATTCACCAAATTCCAGTGTGCTTGATAAATTTTCAAAGTCGATTTTCTTGAAACGAAGCATTTTACGATAAAATTTTACTTTTCATTTTCAACTTATTTTTTCATATAGACTTTGAAAATCCTCTCTCCTTGCTTGTACTATACTAGGACACCCTGTATAATATCAAAATACTTTAGGAAGAAATCGAATAACTTTACCAGAAAAGTCATATATATTATTTGATTCACTTGCATTTAATTCCTTTTAATAAATAGATTATAATTGAACAGATAAATAAATTCTAATTGGAGTAGAGAAATAATTTACTATTTTTCATGTATTTTATATTTTATAGATTGAAGGAGGTGTTTAGAATAACAACTTATATAGTATAGTATAGAATGACACTGTATAGCAACGTGGAGAGTTAATACAAACAATATACAGTGCCATTGAAAATGAAATTAGTAGACTAGCAATGATCAGTAAAACTTCGAATAAATCTGTGCTTACGACAAAAAGGTCGTCATTTTAATAAATAAAAAAAGATAATAAAAGAAAAAGAAAAAAATTATTTCTTTATTCCAATTATATAAATGTAAAATCTATTGTATGAAACAAATAAAAAAACTTAATATGATCTTTATTCAGAATAATCCATCAAACATAATTTAAAGTTATTTGGTTTCCTTCTGGAACATTCTGTATATTTGTATTGACACTAACTATTAATTTGTATCATGAAAAACCATAACAATTTTATTAGAGTTAAATTACTTATTGTTAGTTTTCAGAATTTTTAATTTAATTGAATTTTATTACTGACAATGAGAGTTTAAAATACACAACAAAATAAAATACTTTGAATTTCAGTGATCTGATATAAATTACTATTTGAGAGTTAAATAAAAAGGAAATTCCAATTCTTGCTCCCAGTTTTTCTTTCGAATTTTTCAGGAATCGATTTCCTGATAATCGAGGATTTTCTTTGTAATTTCTGAAAAATGAAGTTGCGCAAGAATTTTTTTCACCTTTTTACACTAGTTTACCAATTTCTCGTACAAAGAACCAATTTCAAATTCCATTAATTGAGAATATCGATTTTCTGATAATTGAGTTCCTACCGCATGCTGCGAAGAGAAAGTGGAAACATAGTAGATTGCGTTGATTATCACTATTTGTGAATAGCAAATTAGCAACCGTATGGAGAATGGTAATTTTCTCCAAGGTTATCAAAATTAGAATACGTCGATATCCGAGAGAAATCATAATAAGCTCAGGGAAAGAAGCTCAAAACGAAATAAGGAACCAGCAGGCTGTAGAAATTGAAATAGTGGACTTCTGACATTGGAATAGAAATATGGCATCCCGAGGAGTTATAAAAAGAACTCGGGAGCTGTATGCATTAAAACAAAAAACTTAGAGGGCAATAGAAATTGAAATAGAAGGTCATCGTAGAATCCTGACGCGTAGGATTTTAGGATCATAGAAAATCGAGAATATGGAGATCGTAAAAAGCTTCGCAGCTACAGAGAGTACTGGCGTTATAATCTACATATACAAGTAGAGATTTCAAATATCACGAATGTTATACGATCGAGAATACCTGTGGTGATAAAATTTGAAACAAGAAACTTTAAAGTTATCTAAATAGAAAGAAAAAAAATTACTTTCTCTCTTTTTTTTTGACATTCACAATTTCTTCATTTCTTCATTTCTTTATATTTATATTTCTTTATATTTTTTTATATTTTTTTATATTTCTTTATATTTCTTTATATTTCTTCATTTCTCATTCATTCGCGTCGAGTGTTCGAGTTCATTTCGAATGGACAGTTATCTTTCCAAACCACATACTAATTGCCGATAAATTATAACTATTGCGTTTCTACATAAGTATATTTGCCATTCCCGAGTGTTTCTATTTAGTTTTTGTCGTGTTTGTTGTACCCTTGACATTTAAAATAAATTTCTAGAAAACACATTGCAAATAAAAAGCACGATGTATTTAACCAATTAATGCATCTGGAGACGTGTTTGTTTTTAGGTTTGTGAAAACGATATCTTGGTGGTCGACGTGATTAACCGGCTTCCAGGCAAAGCTGCAGCAGTGCACTGGCGTGGTCAATCTCAGGTTGAGACGCCACACATGGATGGCGCTCCTCTTGTCACCCAGTGTCCCATACCGAGCTATACTACTTTCCAATATAAATTCCGCGCATCATCCGCTGGAACTCATCTATGGCATGCTCACGCTGGTAAGTAATTAAACCTTCAAGTCAACTAATTATACGAACTGCATCTACGACAAAAGGTTTCCATTTTCTGCGACACAACTTTCGAATGGTTTTATTTCCGAGATGAAGTAGTTCAGTTGAATAATGACATTATACTGATGGCGTCGTTGATAAAACACGACTGCACAAATGGTTCAATAACTAATCGAGTTTTGTGTAATGTAACGACCTAACGTAATAATAATAATAAGTTGCGAGACAGTTTATGAAATTACACAATAAATAATACCAGATAATAAATGTTTTCACAATTAATTTTATTATTGTCTCACGAACATTGGTGTTCTTATTCTTATTCGAAAAATCTGAAAAAAATTTATCCGAGGTATTTATTGTAGTTTCTACTTTTAGTTTAGTCCGTACGGACGTAGTGAAAGAGCGATTTCGCTGTTTAGTCCTTTCATCGTACGAACAAAGCAAGCGAGTGAGATCGTTTTCCATTAGATTGTCAATTTTTATACGACTCAGATAAGGATATCATAATAACAGGTTTCTGCCTCATGCTACAATCGAAGACAATATGGCATTGACTTTCAAATGATATAAATTGAGCGTGATATTAGCAAGTTTAGAAAGGTTTTTCAGAGATAGTTATTTCAAAAATTTTCATGAAACTTGCTTATTGCACTTAAGTTTAAGTTGAGAATATTACTGTCATAAAAAATGTAAAGAAAAAGTTTCTTCAAAAAACCTACGTGATTAAAAAATTGGACGGTTTGATTATAAGTAACGGTTATAAGTGACGAAAAATTTTTTTTTCGTTATCAATTATTGATGAGCGGAATTTTATTTTGATCGCTTATAATAATTATCGATAAGGAAAATTTATTTCTTTTATGCAAATATATGCAACATATTGCAAACATATTAAAAATTTAATATAAGTATTTATTAAAAATTTAATATAAGTTTAAAATATATTATTGAAGATAATTTCATTAAATACTAAGACTTACATAGATAACAATAAATAGTAAATAATCGACTATTAAAATGTTTTGATAATTTTTATGAAATATTAATGTTAATTTCAAAATATTTCTACAAATGTTTGAATACAAAAATTATATATATATGAATACAAAGATTACTACATTTTCGAATACTTAAATCACTTTTTATTCGAAAGAAAAAATATTAATGAAATTCTAATGAGCCAGTGTATATTTATAAAAAATATATATATATATATATATATATATATATATATATATATATATATATATATATAATATATATATATATATATATAACAAATCACTACGTTTCTGAATGCGTATAATATTATAAATTACTTTTTATATTCGAAAAAAAAAAAAACGTTGATAAACTTGCATATATGTATATCATATTCTGACATAAAAAAAATAAATATAAAATAAAAATAAAATAAGTATAACGTTGATAAACTTGTATATATATATATATATATAATATTGTGAGATAAATAAATACAAAATAAATAAAATAAGTAATAAATTAAATATAAAATAAATAGAATAAGTAACAAAATAAATATAAAATAAATAAGTAATAAAATAAATAAAATATATTAACGCAACGAAGTTGTTACCATTTCTCTTAATTAATAAAACTAAAGTCACATTAAATAAAGTTTTTTTTAATTTCTAGGGGCTGACGTCACTAATGGTATATTTGGCGCGTTGATCGTCAAGCAGGCAGATATCAGGGACCCTCATCGCGCTCTTTATGATATCGACGACCCGAATCATGTGGTGCTTGTGAGCCAGTGGCAACATTCCCCAGAGATCACGTACACGGAGGGCCACACGAAACCAGCGATTCTTCTCGTGAACGGCAAGGGACGCCAGCCAAATGGACCAAACGTACCTTTGACGAAGTTCACCGTTATTCCAGGACGACGTCATAGATTTCGCGTTGCTAACGCTGGCGGTGCTGGATCCTGTCCAATAACCATCTCTGTAGACGCTCATCCCCTTCTTCTGATTGCCCTCGATGGTCAGCCAATGGAACCGCGACAAGTTACATCGATTACTTTGGCGAAAGGTGAGAGTTGCTGTATGCATCACGCATTATGCACTTGCGAATTGTAGGGCGTAGGCTATAATTCACTTAGTCTAACAGACCAATTTTCAGACTAAATGAATGAGACTAAATGAATGAGAGGATAGCTATGCATTCATAGAGATATTTGAGCCGTTCAAAAGCGATTAATTCTATTCTTTGAACTTTTTAACACATTAGAACAATCAAGCCAGTCAATCTGAACAGATTTCTTTTTTCTTTTTTCTTTCACAATCTTTGCTTTTACAATTGCTTAAAAGATGCGGGTTTCTATTTACTAACTATTAATATAAATATAAATATAAATATAGCTATTTACTTTAATTATTATTATCTAAGTCACAACGATTTATATGTAGAATATTTTGATATATATATTTTAAAAGTTGTTTTAATATTAAATTTTAATGCCAAACCACTCAATTGATGATTGAGTTATTGTCTTTTAAATTATAATGATTTACACGTAGAATATCTTGGCAAGTATTGAAATTCACTTTTCTCAATGTCAAACATTAACGCCAAAGCACTTGATTGATTTGAATTTTATATATTTAGAGCAAAGCATAATAGGCGTCCCTGAACATGACTAACGAGACTGAAACTCTGTGTTAGAAGTTATTATAACTCGGGGTGGTCCACACAATTATCTCAGATTTATAACCAATGCAGTTGCAGAGAAATGTCAAAGGAAAAAGATAAATGGTTCAAAGAGTATTATATTATATAAGCACATTTCTTTTAAAAATGCAATGATGCATATGTATTAAACAACTGCCTTATTTTTTTAATATATATAAATGGAAATGCATACTTTTTTTTTTAGATAGATAAATCCTCCTCGTCATTCTACTTAAAACAGTATTGGAGTACAATGTTAATTAATGAGATATTTAAAAAAAGTGTCTTTATATCTCGTCCAAAATAACAAAGGGCGATTGGGAATGAATGAAACGTATTGTTATTCTTTTCATTTAATGATTCGGATTCATGTTTTTTGTAAGAGAAACTTGGGACTCTGTTGGTTGTAACACTTTACATCAAGTTATAGCAAACTTTATCGAAAAATGCGCGAACTTTCTTGATTAGTTGAAAATATATTGAAAAATTGTTAACATTTTAAACTGTCATAACTTCGTCGTAAACAAAATTGTACAACCATTCAGTTCAGACTTTATTCTGAAGTATAAAGTTTCTACTTTTAAAAGATTGTAAAGTTTTGGAAAAAATTAAATTATAATTAAATTATAATAAATTTCTTTATTAAATTATAATTAAATTATAATAAATTTCTTTAATAACTGATTTAGATCTGTCATGGCGATGGAGATTGAAATTTTCTGTTTACAATGATCGCTTAAAACTTGCTGTATGATCTTTTCCATTTTATTGAAGTTTGAATATTAAAATTGATCTGCAAAATTTGACAAAAGTACGAGAGATCCCAATATTTCTAATATTCAAACTTCAATAAAATGGAAAACAACAATTATGTAGTATGAAATGAATCGTCTATTTTTGAAAGTGACATAAATTACTTTTTAATAATGAAAAATGACAATGATTCGTACTGAACAAAATTTATAGTGAGAAAAATACAAGTATCTGAAATAATAAATACAAATAAATTTTCTCGAAAGTTAACATCAATTTATCTAGACACGTTAATACGCAGACTCCAAAATATTTTTAAACTCAAAAATATTTTTTAACTCAAAAAAAGAAAGTGATTTATACCACTTTCAAAATGAACGGTTCAGATATTGACGATTGTCCATCAAGCTTGTTCATCACTATTTTCTTGTGAAAAGAACGTAATTGTAGCAAGTCTAAAACAAATAATTATAATATAAATATAACATAATATAATATATGATAATATAAATATAATTATATAATATGTGACACTATAATATAATAATATATGATATAATATAATATAATATAACATGATAATATAAATATAATTAAACGAAATTACAAGAAAATATAAGATCACAATATGAAACTGACCTACACTGACTTATACATAAGAGTAAGATTTGTATGAATTGAATATAAAAATTATAATATAAATATAATATAATAATAATATAATAATAATATAATAATAATATAATAATATAATATAATAATAATATAATAATATAAATATAATTAAACGAAACTACAAGAAAACACAAGCTCACAATATGAAACTGACCCACACGTGACTTACGCATGAGAGTAAGATTTGTATGAATTGAATTAATTAAAAAATTAATTCTACCTACTATCGATCAAAGAATTTCTAAATTTAGCTATTTTTATTTTTTCATTGTGGATATTAATTTTTTCATCACCGTGTCAATTTAGAAAAATGACGAATTAAGATTAAATTTCCAAAAAAAATTCATTATGGGTCAAAAGATCAGTAATTCCATCATTAAATTTCAACGAGAATTCTTTTTTTATCTCAACGACTTATTCTTGCAATCATATAAATTGCAACAGATAATTATCCCAATTGTGTCACAGGTGAAAGAGCAGATTTTATCCTGAAAGCGAACAAACGAGTCGCTTCCTATTGGATGAACGTGCATACGTCGAAGGAATGTGGTACCAGTCCTATAAACGGTGTGGCGCTCTTAGAGTACAAGGGAAGCACAACGGAGAATCTGTTGTCTGTGACGGAAGCGAGCGAAGAGTTGGAAGTTGAGGAAGCGGACGTTCGAGTTGCGATGACAACAAATCCCGCGGACAAGTGTGGAAATCCAGAGAGCCTGTGCGTGACGGAATTGCATGCATTGCGCAAGATGCCAGCTGCTTTAGCGAAACCGAAGACCGACATTACCATTTATCTACCTATTAATTACAGGCTGCAAACGAACGATATCGTGGGTAAGTAATGAATGGTTGATAGACGGTATAATAATTCTTTTCAAACGTTTGAGTTGAGATAATTTCATCTGAGAACGGATGTGTTTTGTGGTTGTAATTGATTTTAACTGCTGTTGCTGTTATAAAAGAAATCAGTTGCCGCAAGTCATCTCATTAAAGATGGCCTATGCCCTCATATATTATGTTATTGAAATTAGTAAAATTACGTACAAGTGTCTTTCTGTCGGTAAAATCTTCAAATTGAACAGTATATCCTAATAATTATGTTAAATTGATCGGATTTTTATGCATTCCAAAAAATTTTTATCAACGCAAAAATACAAATGACCCTGAAAATTTCAACACACACAAAAAATTGATACGCTACATTTTGCATCCCTTAAAACCAACCAACAATTTTTGTGTCAAACAATTTTTCATTAGACATTTTTCATTAGATCAAAAGTTATTTCAAGTATGCAAATTATGTGAATCACCCTGTATAACAGACAGAATGTAAATTCAAATTTAGAAAATAATTTGCTTAATAACTGGAACATTGCAAAATTACTCCAAGAAATTGATCATTTTGATTAAGTTGGCGATTCTGTGTTAAAGAGGTAGCATTTTCTTAAAAGATAGAAAGCAGAAAATTGTAAAAAGCATTGTATCTCAGATAATTTACACACTTTCTCACATATTACATGCATAAAAATTACATTAAAAATTACATGCATGAATGCGTAAAAATAGAAATATATATAATAAAATAGAAATATTTCCACAAATCTAATATAAATTTTTTTCTGTCTTTTTTCATTTTGTCTTCTCGTGATGAGCGATTTCAAGCTTGCGTGACTGAAACCACATTACAACATAATCACTCGTAATTTCATACAATTTGATTTAATGATACAGAAAGAAAGCGTGAAAATTGACAGACACGAAGTCGATATTTTAAACGTCAAGAAGTCGGAAGGTATTATAATCCCTAATTACAGTACCTACTGTCTGTTCTTCAACGTTCGTATTATACTTAGTTTGATCTCGATGTGTCTGATATCGTCCATCTTATTTCACTTTCAATAACTATCAAGGATACGTGTCTGACAAGGTGCGACACGAAAGTAATTCCGAAGAAATTTAATGGTTAATGAAATGATGATACGATGTGAAATGTGACGACAGAAGTGTAGATTTTATTTCTTATAAGTAAATAGCGAATTTTTATATATTGACGCAAAATTTGAAGGTGCCAGAAATTTGTAGAATGTGCACAGTTGAAAATTATATATTAAATATTAAAATTATATATTAAATATTATTGTAGTATAATATAGCACTCATTACATACTGTCAACATACATTACAAAATAATTATAGGGTGTATCTCATTTTATTCAGGATGTTCTCGAAATTATGGTACAACCGTCCAATTTTATGTGTAAAAATAGATCGGGGGAAAAAAAATAGAATTTTTTTGAGAAACTTGAACTTGAAAATTTATCAAGTATACTTGAACTTAACGTATTCGTGACAGAAAAGAATAATTAATAGAAGGTTATCCTACATACGAAAAAATGTAGAATAAAATTCTTTTTTATGATGCTTTGTTTTCGAGAAAATCGTATTTAAAATGTTATTACCGAGGCAATTTTTAACGGAACATGTTCAAAGTCTATTTTCTCGAAAATGAAATTTGAAAATGAAAAAAATGTTATGTCACATTTTTAACTTGGGTTTGCACGTAGAATAATCTCCTATCAATTCTGTTCATCTCATAGTTAACAAAATTTGAATATATTTAATAAATTTTCAAACTCGATCTTCTCAAAATTGAAGACCTAAATGAAACAATTTTGTTCTGTCTTTTAAATTTATTATTAATTTATTATTAAATTTAAATTCAATTTATTATTAAATTATTAAATTTAACTTAATTAAAATTTGTTATTATGTAGAATGACCTCCTTTTTGATTATATCAGGAACACTCTGCATATTTTATATTTTATATTATCACCGGTTAAAAACAAGTCGAAAAGAAAGAATAAAATTTTTTACTTAAATCAAGTACACTTAAATTTACCTACTTTTCAATTTCGTTGATTAGAAATGAAGAATAGGAGATTATATGTAAAAATGAGTAGAAAATGTAGAATAAAATTTTTTTGTAAGATATTCCGTTTTCGAGAAAATTGAGTTTAAAAAACTAAATTCGAGTAGCATGAATTTAGTTAATTCTATACTTGATAAGAAATTGTTCTATTTACGAAAATAAGTGAAGAAACGCAGAACAAAATTTTTCTGTTTAAAATCTTATTTCCAAAATAGGCTTTGACAATATTTAGTTTACTAGTTAAAAATTAGCAGAAATTGAATTTTCTTGAAAATGAAGGGCATTATAAAAATATTGTATTTTACTTTTTTGACTTATTTTCACAAATAAAATAATCTTCTGCTCTTTTTATACATTTCTGACCAGTTCAAATTTAAATATATTTGATAAATGTTCAAACCCAATTTTTTTCGAAAATGGAGCCTTAAAGGAAAAAAATTTTATTCTTTCTTTTCGACTTATTTCTTAATGTAGAATCACTTACTTTTTGGATCACAAATACTTCATATATTATTATACGTTTATTTATAATAACAAGAAGAATTCATGATACAAATTTCTAACTAGCTTACATTTTTTTCAATTAGACAAAAGTTCAAGAATTTGCATAAGCATTCGCAGTCAAGTGCAATAATGTTTGAAATAGCATTTTAGTATTTAGAGGAGTATTTAAAATATTATTTGCGTTACCTAATTTGTAACATCGCCAGTAATAGGTACAAACGATGTGTTACTTAACAGATATTTAGAATAAACTGTACTGTTGATATTTCCGACTCAATAAACACAGGAGCAATAAATGTCAATTAGCGAAATTCAGCGAGTTTTCATTCAATTGTACGGTCGTAGCTGAAATACGTCAAAATTATAAACTAGATAATTTAATCTATTCATTTGCACGTTATTTCTACGGTTTCGTGTCAATTTTGCAATCGTTTCAAGAATTTTACTATGAAATTTTAGCCCTCTTTAAACTAATTTTTAAGTTAATTTCACAGTTAAACAAAATATAAATAAAAACGTAACAGCGTATAAAAATATCTAATCCAGATCCTTGTTTAAAAACTGTACTCACTAATATGTGAACTGTATTTGGATCTTCCTTTTTGCTTCTTTTTTTATCGACTATAGTGGCGAATGATGAAGAGTGTTTCAGAAGTAACAGGACACTTTCTGGATAGATTCTTCATTTGATTTGGACATTTCACATTATCATTCTATCATGATGATGTTTATGGAAAAATTCGGAGTTGCAAAAATGTATGCGTAAAATGCGCCAGCGCCACATGTTTTTAAACTGTAATTATCCTGTAACGCTGTTTTAACGATTAAGTGTCTAAACGAAAAATTTCTAATTATTATTTAAGGAAACAGTGGCGAGGGGATGAAGGTTCTGAATGTGAACAACGCGACGTTCACGTATCCATCGTCGCCGTTGTTGACACAAGGTACCGACATCGCCGAAGAAACTTTGTGCTCTTCTACCCCCGACGAGGACGACGCTCGTGCTGAGAACAACGAAACGGCGTCGTTGTCGTCGCGACGTTGCCGTCGTACCGATGCAATCACTTCAAACATTTGCGAGTGCGTTCACGTGAGGTATATACCGCTCGGAGCAACCGTCGAAATCATTCTCCTCGATCAAGGTAATTAATTATCTTTTTTTTTACATTTAATCAATTTAATTTATTTCTATGCATTAATTATAGTGCAGTAGTTAGTAGTTGTTAGTTTTATTTAACGTTTACTGCATGACCAAGTTATTTCTATTAATTATTGTGTAATAGAATTTTGATATAATCCAGCCATAATCGTACGCATGTGCAACCTGAGTAACTGATCATGCAATAAAATTAAATCTTTCTTTATTCAATTTATTGCTTTGAAAAGAAGGCAAATAAAGCTTTGATGACTCTCAGTGATACTTTAACATAACTCATCTTCTTTATCTACTAATAAGTTACTTTTTACTTACTCGTTTACTACATTTGTTCTTTTAGTCTATCTTCTACCATACCTAATACTTCTATTTTCATTATTTTCATTTAATCTTTCTTTATTCAATTTATTGCTTTGAAAAGAAGGCAAATAAAGCTTTGATGACTCTCAGTGATACTTTAACATAACTCATCTTCTTTATCTACTAATAAGTTACTTTTTACTTACTCGTTTACTACATTTGTTCTTTTAGTCTATCTTCTACCATACCTAATACTTCTATTTTCATTATTTTCATTTAATCTTTCTTTATTCAATTTATTGCTTTGAAAAGAAGGCAAATAAAGCTTTGATGACTCTCAGTGATACTTTAACATAACTCATCTTCTTTATCTACTAATAAGTTACTTTTTACTTACTCGTTTACTACATTTGTTCTTTTAGTCTATTTTTTACCATACCTAATATTTCTATTTTCATTATTTTCATTTGTTACTGTGACTATTACTATCTTTATCTCATTTATCTTATTATCCATCTATTGTGTATTATTATTTTATTTATATATTAGTATTTTATTACATTATTTTATTTATATATTAATATTTTATATACTAATATCTTCATCTTATTTATTTTTGTACTTTCACGCTTGCTCTTTTCACTTTTTCTTTTCCTTTTTTTTTTTTTTTTTTATAAGAAGGGATTTTCTCCATTTATTTGAATAAATTAAGTGAAATGATTATTTTGAAATAATAAATTTACTATTTGAAATAATATCTTCGAAAAAGATTCACGAGGAAATTTCGTTCTTCTCTTCTTCTCCCTCTTTTGCAATTTCGTAGAGCAACGTAGAATGATCTCGGAAATGAAAAGCTAATTATTCATCATTTAAAAACGTTTGTTCGTCTAAACGAGCTGTTAAAAATTTATGAGTCATTTCCCTGTTTCAATCGTCTATTTTTTTCATTTCGTCCCTCACTTTTCGAACTTAATTTGTTCCTTGGTGTCGCGCAATCGTAAAAGATGAATCGTTAAATTTAAAAATTCTTCTATCAAAAATAAATCGATGAAATTTTTCTATTCAGTATATAACATTCACACACTTGCGTATAAATATTCAATTTTATGTCGCGATCTCACTTTCTTTTTTTCTCCAGTTTCGTCTGATGTTATTTGCTAATTGTTTTGGATTTTTACTTGTTTCAATTATATTCAAAATTATAGATACATCTACACTTTACACGCACCGAGAATCTTGCTACATTGCATAATTAGAAAACGATATACTGTCTGTTGAAGGAACTTGAAAATATTATTTGCAGCTCTGGTACATTTTGTCATGAAAATGTCAGAAATATGTGTTATATGCCAGGAAAATAGATTAGAATGTTACAGAGCTTCACTTTTATTACAAAATATATGAAATGTGTTGTATAACACTGTACATGAAAAATGTGTCGAATTGACACAAGGGATAAAATTCTCTAAATAATTTTAGTAATAATATCACTAAAAATGTTTTACGATTATCGAATATTTTAGTGACCGATTAAATTGTTATGAAAAAGAATCTATTAAATTTTAAATGAAATAAAATTTTCAAAATTAACTGTTTGAATTATAATATCGAGTTACACTCGTCTGTCGATTTAAAAGAGAAAGTTAACTGTAGTCCTGTGGAATTGGAAATTTCAATTTTTCAAACTGAAAATAAATACACAGTTATGTACATAATATTACTGAATAACTAATGTTTGCTGAAGACTGAGAAGAAAATCGCAGGGCAACGGATTGTATTTAAAAAAGAAAATTCATTCTGTTGGAATATTTTATATACATACATATTAATGTCTTCGATGTCTTACGGAAGATGCCTTATATGTGTACGATCGTAGGGTTTCGTCATGAAACGAAACGAAAAATCAAGTTTCCACTGGCAAACATCTTCGTATCAAGTGTTTTGAAATATTCGGTTTGAAAATCTTATTGTATTAATAAAATCGTAATACCGATAGAATATTTTCCAAAACAATGTTGCGTAAAGTTCATTGTTAGTATAAATGAAAAGATAGCAAAGTATATATTGCATGGCGTAGTAAAAAAATCGGATTTTCTCTTGTTAGAAAATATTGAAAAAAGATATATATGTGCATAATGTTATATTTTAAACAAATATAAAAATTTTCATACCATTACCAGAAAATATAAGAAATCTTCTCAACTTTATTTTTACAAAAATAAAAATAAATAACTAAATATTTCAACTTCAATGAATTTTTTTAATAGTTGCATAAATTTATATTTCAACGTACGTTTTAACAAACTTTAATTATTTTCAACAATTTTTCGCAGGATTATTGCGTTTTTTAAATCTATATATTCTAAAAGATTTTCAATGTCTTTTACTTTGGCTATTTTAAACGGAATAATAGAAGTATGTCTTAGTGATTCATAAGGTTTATTATGATTAAATTCATTTTTTTTTCGATTTCGAGATTTATATTTAAATGATTTGCAATTAATAGGAGAAAGATATTATTTTTTCACATTTAACGAACAATTAAATAAATGAAAAGAGTGCTTATTTTTTCGTTTAATTCTTTTTTTCTATCCAATTACTGCGTTGTATTAAGATTCGTAATTGAGTGACATATAAAGTTAAATCCATAGATTCCAAAAATGTAATAGGAAAAGAGCATTTTTCAAAAAAACGGTCATATTTCTAAGAACTCTTCAATTTTTATTTGACAGAATTATTTTAAAAGAAATCTAGTGGAACATTTCTGCATTTCATGAAATTTTTCATTCTTTTTTGAATGATAATTCATTATGAAACTTAATGATAAATCATCGTGAAACATTTTTACCTCGAAGATTTATAAAGAAATTTTTAAGTTTTAATTTAAATTTTGACCCTTTTAATACCCAAGAGCTGATATAAAATATCGGCTCCGCGATATTTTACACTTTGAACAATATTTTGAACAATCAAATGGCTTCTTACAAAATGTCTTTACTGAAAAACAGTGTGTCTGTTTTTCACTTGTTCTGTTTCTACGACAATGCCTCGTACTTTCAGACGATATATAGAAAAGTTGCAAGATACTAAGAGGGTTTGTTATACTTACCATCCACTGCGCAGTTTGACTGCATAACGCTCGAGATTGAATTTAAAATTAATCACCCGAAGAGTGATTATTGCTTTTCACAAAAAGTGAATGCGAAACACTCGAGACTGCAATTTCCAATTCACAGGTTCTCCTTGCGAAAATGAATGAATTTAAAAAACACCAATCCTCCAGGTAGCTGTATCAATATTTAATTTTAATCTCCGTAGTGAATTAAATGTTTTGTTAAATTTACGTAGACGCGTGAAAAGTATCAAGGATTGTTTCGGAAGGATTGGATAAAACGAACCGGATTAACACGCTGCTGGAGCGTTGCCTTGAGAGCTGAGAGCCTTGCTCTATATTTCTCTTCGTTGCAGAGGCTGGAAATATTGATCGTAACTTTGTTCCACGACAGTTGTTTCTGACGTAAAGCAGAAACACAGTTTCTTCGTTTGATTCTGTTACTATTGTTGACAAATATCACCATTTTTAACTTCGTCGTTTCTCGTTTCTCGTTTCTCGTTTCTCACGTCTTTCCGCTGTGTTTCTGAAAATTGAAGAGAAAGTTACAATGTATAATACTACTCGAGAATCGAGTTTCAACTGGTAAAAGCGCTCGGAACTTAAATAGAAAATGGTAAACGTCGACTTCACAGTTTGAAAATATTCGTATCTCAAGAAAGTTTTTAAACGTATGTGTTACTTATACGCTTCATCATCATTGCGACCCATATTCTTGACTCATTAAGGTCAAGAACATCTCACTCGGAACTTTTTTTTCCAATTATTTTGCATCATAATAGTTATAAAATAAGACTCCAAGAAATCGTTCGGTATCTTTGTTCAAAGAGAAAGAAATCGAAAAGAGAGAAATCGGAAGAAATCGTCGATGAAATAAATATACAAAGTAAAATATATGCAGTACGTGAATTATGTTTTCGTTCATTGACAGTACAACATGCACGAAAGTCCGATATTTAATTTCGTCTGCCATGTTTATTAAAAAAATTTGATACGAGTATTGTTGACCAGGAACCACAAGTGACAGTTAAGTGAAAAATTTTTACAAAGAACATCAATAACTAAAATTTGTTCATTCCTGAAGTGAAGATAAATTTGTTCATTGTTGAAGATATTACTCTCAAAATGTAAATAAGATTTTTTAAAAATTAAATGATTACAAAATTAAACATCTTCATTATAAGCAGTGATTATAAGTGACAAAATTTGTTTCGTTACCATTCGATAACTATTATTTGATAAGGATTAATTTTATTTTAGGTATTTCGGTTGCTCACAGAGTGAGAGCGCATTGAAATATTTTAAAAATCGTAGAATTATTTTCTGACGCAAATCTCGAAATTAACGAAGAGAAAGAATCGAAATAAATTTGCCTCATCGATAGCTGTTATGAGCAATTGAAAAGGAGTTTTTGTCATAACTGTTATGACTAACCGATTTAAATTTCTTTTAATAATCTTTAAATTTCTTTTATTAATAATGATTATTGGTAACAGAAGAATTTTTCGGCCAAATATGATCATTATTTATAATCAAAATGATTTTAATAAAAACACAATTGTTATTTTATTTATAATAATTATATTACGATTATAACAATCTGCTTTTGACAAAGATTGCATAGAGTTGCTCATATTAATATTCGGACATTTAAATATAATGTTTAATAAAATAATGAAAAAAGAAATCCCTTATAGATTTAGTCATGAAAAAAATTTATACAAATGGAGATTAAAAAAATTATAAATTTATTTTGATGTTTAAGAATGCTATATTTTTTTTTTACTACTGAATTATCAAATCTTTTTAGTACAATTCCGTAAAAATGCATTGATTTTATGCTTCGAATCATTGAAGTTCATTTTTTGATGTAAGATACATTGTTTTTTTTTTTTTTTTTTTTTTTTTTTTTCTCGAAAAAATGGTGATTCCTGTCAGTCGTTAAACGAAACGTCGATTTATCACAGAATCAAACATAACATTATGTTCCACTGACGTTATATTTTTAGTAAAATTTTCTCTCATAGTTTGGTAAATTCTTTCTAATTGTGAAAAATAATTATAAAAAACATGACAAAATATATAATAATAAATGTAAAATAACTCGACAGGAGGCCACTAGGCCACGATTCTGTTTGAATGACAGACTGTTCGAATTAAAATTCTCAAACAATTTCGATAATGTAATTTATAATTCTCATTATGTGTAATTTATAATTTTCATTGCATATAATTATATGTAAGTGTCATTGTCTTTTACTATTCTTTTACTTTATGAATACTTATGTCCATCAGACTCTTTCGAAGTTTTTGGTAGCCAAGAGTAGTTAAAACCTTAAAGATGAATCTTGCAAGCTGCAAGAGTCAACCTTAAAGGCTGATGTCATAGCTCATGTTTTCAAAGCTTTAAGACTGAAGCGTTAAATTTTTAAAACTTAGCTTTAGATTTATTCCATGAGTAATACGACACTATTATTTATATACGTGACATTTGACGATGTTGTAGATGTAGATCTACATATTTATAATCATCGCTGTATACAGCTCGACTTTTAATTGGCAATATACACGTAGTTTTCTAAAACGAAAGTACTTATGTGGAGTACTTGTGAACATTCGGTAAAAAATAACATTTATTGATCGCGAATATCTGTATGATTTATGCCCCTTTATAAAAATATAAATAACGTTAATATATATATATTATTATTATTATTATTATTATTATGAAAAATATAAAATGTTAATATATATATATTATTTATATTTTTTAATATATATATTAAAAAAATATAAAAATATAAAATGTTACTATATATATATTATAAAAATACTATATATATATATATATTAAAAAAATATAAAAATATAAATAACGTTAATATTTATATATATATTATTATTATAAAAATATAAAATGTTAATATATATATTATTTATATAAATTATAAATATATATGTTAAATGTTAATATATATATTATTTATATAAATTATAAATAATTATATAATATGTTAATATATATCTTAATATATATGTATGTTAATATATATATTATTTATATTTTTTAATATATATATTAAAAAAATATAAAAATATAAAACGTTAATATATATATATGTATTACATATAGACATATATGAATACTAACCTTACTTCAAGACGCAATGTTTATAATCGGACAAATTATGATTTAATTATCAGATCGTTGATTACACGTGCGTGCTATCCCCACGTGGGTTCAGAATTCGAGCATTTCAGCTTTTACAGATTCAACGCTTGAATCTTTGAGTCGATCAGCATTGCAGTTGAACAAGCCCGAAAAGCTAAGAATCGCGATTCGATTTTTTCCAAGCTCGAAGCTTATTTTAACAACACTGGAACATAGAATTTACGAGAGGCAGGTGGCTTATCTTTGTTTCTCTAAATTGATCTACAGTCCTCTAAAAATAGAAATCCTTGGGAACGGCAGAAATGTTCGCTGTAAAAGAAATATAGCTTTTGATACTTTTGTGTTGTGTTTTAGATTGTTTTCTTTCCAGTATTGCTTTCGATATTATTGTTTGGCATCTTTTTATTGTCTTTGTAAGGTGGTTTCGACGATTTGGTGTATCACCTGCATGGATATACTTTCTACGTAGTGGGAGCGCGAAATTTCGGGCGCAGCGTGACTCTGAATGAATTAAAAAGCCTGGACGACAAAGGTCAACTGTTCTCACGGAATATCGACTGCACCGTGGCTAAAGATACCGTAGTTGTGCCGAAATTCGGTGCGGTTGCCCTCAGGTTTAAAGCAGATAATCCAGGTAATATATATTATTTGTCTCTTATCGTATAATTATTACAATTACGTTCATCATCGGGACATTTTCGTCTTTATCGTGGATTTATTTTAATATATCTTTAATTCTTTGAGTAACATAAATAAAGAGCCTTGCGAATAGACTTATCACGACTACGTTAGATTTACTGATACAGAAAAAAGGTTCTGTGAATATTTTCTAATATGTATGCAACATTTTAGATGACCAGAATCATAATGTATGATGACTTGTATTTATAAATTATAAATATAGACGGAGGCATGGTATACTCTTATCAGTATTAAAAAATAAATTTTTATTTATTAAATTTGTATTGAAAAGATATTAAAATTCTTATTAGCGTTTAAAAATAAATTTTTATTTAAGAAATGCACCGATAAAGACATATGTTGAAAAGCATTTGTCACAAACATTAATAATTATAACCAAAATATATATGATATATAATAAAAAAAATAAAATATATAATGCACAGTAAAAAATTTATAAAAAGAACTATGTCTCGTTTGTAACAAGTATATTAAAGATATTAAATTTATTCATTTCATAGTAAGAAAATTTGCTATATACAAAATTTAAGAGACACTATCGCACAATACGTAAAATTTGTAAATAATGTTGTAAATAAAAAGTATTAGTATCATACATGTTAAAACTTGTTTCTTCATATGTTAGTCTTGGTCAATAAACGTTCCTTTTTTCACAAATTAAAATTAAATTTAAAAAGTTAAATTGATCAGTTAAATTAAAAAGTATATCATTTACTAAATTAAAATCAAATTAATTAATTAAATGAAAGGATTACATACTTTTAAATTGCAAACTGAGGAAAATTGAAAAATTTTTTTGGAGATAAAATTACATTTCATTAAAAAAATAATATGTACATTTTACTATATGTTATATATATAGTATGTTATTATATTTTACTTGTCATTATATGTTATATGCTACCTGCGATACCAGGTAAAATTCTTTCAATTTTATGTTAAAAAGAACAGAACTTTTATTGTACAAGAGAAGGTACCACTTGTCAATGCCGATTTAAAATATCAATTTTTTAAAAAAATGACAGCTATCTACGTGCAATTTTCTCCGTGAATTTTCAATTTCTTTTTAATATAAAAAAGTGCATGAATTAAAACCTCAAGTATAATATATTAGATAATAGCTTTGAAAATATTACCATAAATTTTTGTCCAATTTGATTCAATAATCTTTCACATATTTCTGGTACCGATGTTGAAAAATACTTTTTAGAGTTTCAGCTATCAGTTACCGTTAGATGCTGACAAAAGTTCCAAGTTAATTCTAAAGTATCTTAGATTATTTTAGAAGAATCGTAATAATAGAATGTTAATATGAGAAACGATTTTTCTGATTTTATTAATTATCAAATTCGAATTAATTAAATTGAAAGAAATTTCATTAATTATTAAATTCAAGCTGAATTAAAAGAATCAAGTTAATGCTGACGGATATTGATTTAGAATGTGTTTGAAAACATTTGTTTGATTATATTAATTCAGGTTACTGGATGTTGCGTGACGAGCACGCCGCTGAGTGGACACGCGGATTGGACGTGATCCTTCAAGTTGGAGAAACAAGTGATATGGTGCCTGCTCCGGAAGACTTCCCCAAGTGTGGATCGTTCGTTGGACCAGACTACTTTCTTATATAGACTGTTATTTCCCTTAAGAATCGCGAACGTCGTGTATATAGTTGTAAATAAATGCCGATAGACTGAAAGTATACACAGTTTAACGAAGATTCTGTATTATTCACTTTTCTCCCTTTCACTGTTAGTGAATTGATTGTATAAATTATTCAAGAACTTTTGTATCATTCGTTTACTATTTCTCACTTCTATCTCTATAAATATTATTTAATAAATGTTATCTTAAATTTTGTACCACCATTTGTTTTATTCGTCTTCTTATTTGCCAATCACTTAGGTATGCCAATTTTATATTTCACAAAAAGAACATTCCTTCTATACACTTGTTTCCTAATTCTAAATACTGCTGATAAACTGTTCATATTCTTTTTTATGTTTTGTTTTTTTAATATCTTACTTTTTTAAAATGTATTATTGCTGTATCCAAAAGTAGCTTTGTTGTGCTTCGATAAAAGATATAGTTATAATTAGTTCACGGATGTTTGTACAAGTTCATATTTTTGAGAAATAATTAAAAATATAATTAAAAAAAGTAGAATCTTATGTTCCAAATATTTTATATATTCTTTTATGTAACGTATATTGTGCTTTTTAAAATTTCGTATAAATGCAAGAAAATTCACAGTTTAACTATCATTTTTGATACATATTGTAACTGGTGCTACAATTCTACATGATAAAACTAGTCGAAAGAAAGAAGAATCAAATTTTTCGAGATTTCAAGAGATTCCGTTTTCGACGGAAACGAATTTGAAAAATTTGTATTACTTGACCAATTCCCGGATTAAATTGGAATGAACAACAGATGAGAAATTATTCTACTTGCGAAAATACACGAAATGTAGAATAATTTTTCTTATAAAAAGTTCCATTTTCCAGAAAATTGGATTTGAAATTTACAGTGTACTTTCGAGAATGTACAGAGCTAATTATTAATTGAACATGTTCCAAGTTTATCGTCCTAATGAGACACTGAATGGAAAAATTTAATTCCAAATTTCCCAGTTATTTTCATATGTGAAACAACTCTCTGATGATTACACTGGTCAACATGATTTTTATCATATGTAGAAATAAAATATTTGTTATCCAAATATTTGAATTCTAAACTTTTTTTTTTCAAAATTGGTTTTCTCAAAAATTGAAAGTGATGGAGAAAATACTATTAAAAAAATACCATTAAAGAGAAATACTATTAAAATTACCTATTAAACCTTTTGTGACAAGAAAGAAAAAGTAAAATTTTGCGGGCAGAATTATCAAATCACATCAACATACCAATATTTATATCAAATACATCAATTAATATCTTTAATCAAGTTAAATTGATATAAATATATTTAATATAAATATAAAAAAATATTGACTTATTTTTGTTATATAGTTTACACCACCATTTATCTATATAACAGCCTCTCTCTCTCTCTCTCTCTCTCTCTCTCTCTCTCTCTCTCTCTCTCTCTCTCTCTATCTCTCTATCTATCTATTTCTTTATCTCTCTCTCTCTCTCTCTCTCTCTATATATATATATATATATATATATAAAGCGTATTGGAATCACTACGATTTTTAAGGAAAACTGAATATATTAAAGGAAATTACACATTTTTACAGGAACTGAGGATATTTTATTTATCAAATCTACTAGACAACAATTTTTACATTTTCTTTCGTATTTTTTTTCCCATAAAGAAACAGATATTTTTCTTAAATCGCCTTTTCATTGAAAAAGCCGCCTTTGCTTCTAATAACTGCCTGGCACATTCTGGGCATCCTGGTAATGAGTTTTTTAATTGTTTCTAATTTTATATTCTTCTACGCTTCTTGTAGTACTTGCCGAAAGTGTCCCTTCGATGTTAGGCAGTGGAATCGGATATCGCTATAGATCTCTTCCCATAAAAGCTCGATTGGGTTCAAATCTGGTGACTGTGATGGTCATCTTATGTTCTTCAAAACCCCCCTGTATTTCTTTTAGTAACAAGAACTTACACAATTTACACAAATCAGATGAGTGTTTAGGATCCTTATCCTGCTGCATAATAAAATTTCGACCTATAAAATGGCAACCTGGTGGTATGGTATGTTGCTCAAATATCTATTTACAGTCCTCCTTTCTCCTTTCTTTACTTTTATCAATTCTCCTACTCCAACGTTCGAGAAACATTCCCATACTATAACTGAGCTTCCACCATGTTAGATAGTCGGTACAATAAATTCTGCCAACACTTTTTGTCCTACAAGTCGACGAACAAATGTTCTTCGGTGCGACCCAAATACTTCAAATTTGGATTCGTCCAAAGGACTCTCAAATGTCCTCAATGTCCAATTTTTGTGACTTTTTGTCCAATCCAACCGCATTTTGCGATTTTCTTATGAAAGCAATGGTTTCCTGACAGCTATGCAGCTGTTTAAACCACCAGCTCTTAGTCGTCTTTTCGCTGTGGTCAGAGATACTGGAATCAATCTACTATGATTAAGAACTGCACGAATTTGTGAGGCTGTTAGCCATCTGTTAAGTTTGCATATAATCTGTATTCTAATATCTTCAGCCTTCGACGTTATCCTGATTGTAGTTTGTCTTTTAAACAGCCAGAGCTCTCAAAACGTACGCTGTACTGCCTTGTATGATAACTTCAATTTGCATATTCCGCAAAGAATAATCTTCTTTTCAAAGTGTGATAATAGCACTTCTCGTTTTAACACTAATCTGTTATCGTTTTTTGCCATTTTCAAATACTGGAGCACAATTTTAACTGCTGATCTCAGTTGAATGCCTTCGTGAACGAGAATGATAACAATGTATGGTAAATGTGGCTTTTATCAATTTTCTCAGTGTCAGCGTCAATTAGTTGGCGTCTGATATTGTATTACTAAACTCTCATTGGATAAACAAAAGAATCAGGTAGCCCTATATAACGCGAAAACAGATAGTCATTTTACGTGATAGAGAGATTCACGTTTAACGTTACTTTAAACTGGGATTATAATCTCTGAAAGAGTATTTTCAATGCAACAATACAATTAAATATCTAAAAACTTGTACATTCTTGTTAATATCTAGTATACTAGCAGTGCATCAGTGCGGAATGTATAAGAATAATCGATTTTGATAAAAATCTGCAAGTGATTCCAAACTTTTGGCCGGTAGTGTATACTACTATATAATATATAATATATATATTATAATTGTATATTTTATATTTATATATATTATATTAATATATTTATATATTATATATTATGTTATATTTATATATTTATATATTATATTATATTATATTATATTATATTATATTATATTATATTATATTTGTATATTATATTATACATTATATTTATATATTATTATATTTATTTATATTTATGTATTATAATTTTATATTTATATATTATGTTAATTATAATAAATAAAATTAATAATTTAGAAATTAAAAATTATATTAAATAAAAAATTATATATATATGTAATTTTTTATTTAATATAATTTTTAATTTTTAAATTATTAATTTTATTTAATACAATTAACATAATATATATAATTAAATATATATATATATAAAATTAAATTTCAATATTTGACCATTATAAGCATATCACATCTTACACCCTCAGAAATCTTATTTCTCGATTCAAGAGTGTCACTCCGTTACGAAATAATTATCTACAACCCTTCCTTTCATCGAGACCGAGATCCTGTCGATCATGAACTTGTCAATCAAGCTCGCGACGGGTGGAGAGGGGAGGAGGAGTAGGAAATAGAGGAAGATCGACAACGCGGTTCATTTCAGGCGCAACGTCACATGTCTACCGTCAAGAAGTCTAACCATCGTTACAGCGTGTTCCATGCTGACGTGAATAATTCGCCAAGGGCCAGGCTGTTGCACAGCCTCCACAGTGATGTCCTGTTTGACCGCTCTCGATTCGCAGATCGTCACGCTGTTCTCCGTGCCGCACGAGATACTCCTCCTTCAGCACAAGGTCTTCCGAGAGTATGCCAAGATAGCCGTCGGCCCGGATTTTATCCACACCTTGCCCTCGTTTTTCATTCTGACCTCAATGGCGATCGTCCTGTGGAGGAATCCACCCTCTTGCAACGGGTTAGCTCAAACCGTAGCGTCGACGGCGGTGTACAAAGCTTTTCAGGTAACGTCGCGTCGCGTCGTGTATCGAGGAAATGTTTCACCGAGGGTAACGTTAGACCTGTTTCTGATTGAAGCTGCTGGTCAGTTGGGTCGTCGCCGTTGCGGTTTTGTGGTTCTGGCTAATGGTGCAGAGGCTGCTTTACTGTTGCGTTTGGACGTCTTGGAGTTACGTAAGTAGAATCCTCGCGTAATCGTTCTATCTGCGGCTCTCAAGCTACGTGTGCTTAACGTATAGCTAACGTTTAACACATATATATATATATATATATAACGTTAAATGACATGATAAAAATATATATATATATATAAATATTTATTATTTTTTATTTTTATATATTTATTTCATGATTTTTTATTTTTATATATTTATGATTTTTTTTATATTTATATATTTATTTTATTATATATATATATATATATATATATATATATATATCGGCTCTCAAGCTACGTGTTTAATATATATATATATATACGTTAAACGTTAGTTATATGTTAAACACGTAGCTTGAGAGCCGATATATAATAAATATATATAAATATAAAAAAATCATAAAATAAATATATATAAATATAAAAAAATATTTTATATATAAATTTATATATATATATATATATATATATATATATATATATATATATATTTATCATGTCATTTAACGTTTATTTATTTGAACAGGCAAATGATTTTTCTCCGAATTATTGAATTACTGAATTATTTTAATTACTTTACTTTATTTTAGCTATCAAATAAAATAATTCCTTATTCCATTTCGTATTTTGTATTCGTTTCTTTAAGTAATTTTTAATCCTATCGTGTAAACTTCATCTTCTGCCGAAATGATTTGTTATTTTATTTCAATGAATTAACTCAAATGAAAGATTATTTGCAAACGGTTTATTTCGACACAAGATGAAGTTACTTTTCGTAACTGTTCACCAAAAAAAAGCAGCATCCAATACTGGAGCTAGCTAGTAAATCAAAAAGAGTTACAGGCTTGTTTGTTTGATATTTGTCTGATTAGTCCACCGTCAATCTTGCTCATATTCATGTTGTGTCATGTTACAAATGTCAAATGTCTACACATGCCTGCGTTTGATGTATCAATTCCTAAATAAACACAGTTTATTTGACCAGTTCGCGAAAGTGGCGGCGCGGCGGTAACTAGGAAAAAGTTGCCGAGAAATATTTCTAGGTCATTGAAATCAGTCGATATCGCTCCCATTCCGAATAATTGCTGAACAATTTTTATTTTCATAAATGTGTAAGTGAACGTTTCTTCATCTGTCACTGTTGAAACTTCTAGTGTGAAAATAGTACTTTTTAAAAAAGTTCTATGGTTCATCTTTCGCGATTAAACCTATTTAATGGTTCCATGGAACATTTTCGATCTGATTTCTATCGATTAACCCTTTGAACGTTAGTGCGAGTAATCTTATAGTCGATAATAAATTTAATAAAATAATTAAACTTATTTATTAGAGATTCAAAAAGAGTAATGTGTACACTGGATAAGTGCATGCTATAAGTATACAGGATGAGTCACCACATATTGCCATGTAGATTTACATCATTATAATAATAATTAGTAATAATGCGAAAAATGTTTCAAAGGAAGTTAAATATTAATAACGTGTCTTTTCTTCGTTAAAATACTTCACTATGAAGTGATAATTCACCGTACCAGGATAAATATCTAGCAATAAGACAGACTAAATTCTACATAAGGACAGTAGTTGTACTATTCTCAAATGCGTACATTTTATAAGAATCTGTTGACTAGAATCGTAAATGAAGCTAACATTAAATAAGAAAGTAAGAATTATCGATACAGAAAATGCTGTGTAATGTAATGTACATTGAATTCATGATGTTGATGAGAGAGAGTCACGATTTCCTAACAACATTAAAATTAAAATATTTCTTGAACTAGTGACTTTTTAACATAAATAGGTTAATACTTTTTTGTAAAAGACATCAAGGTGCATCAACTGATGCAATAAAAGATATATGATTCCATTTAAAAAAACGTTAATGAACTTCATATGTCCTCTACACGTCCACCTACAAGGAAACTAGTATACAGGGTGTACCACGTTTGAAACGTTCCACGCAATTATCTCTTAAATTAATCGTTACAGAAAAAGGTGTTTCAATGGAAAACTTTATTTCTATGGTCACAAATCTCGTCTAAATGAACATGCCTCCGTTTGTTTTTTTTTTTTTTTTTAATGAAACCACGTATTTTTCTTCAGTACTAGCCTGTTCCATGACAAATTCTAATTAGAAACAGTTTACTTTGTTCGCAGGAATCCGAATATCGAGTCGTCTCTCATCAATGGTGGCAACAAGTTTGGTCCTCCTATTATCCGCCACCGTTGCAACCTCCAGTTATGTCGGCTGATTTTATCAGCTGGTTAATATCGATGTCGATCGCCACGACTTGTCTAGGCTGCGCGGTTTCCACGAATCAAGTATGGAACATTGTCGTGGATTCTACGACTGGAGCAAGGGACATGCTCGTGACAACGAAGTGTTACGCAGACGCGTGGTTCAAGAGGTTGGTACAACAATCATTCTAAGGTAAAATCCACTACTGACTCTGGATCTCGTTTTGCACAATATGGATGGTCAAGGAATACAATGACAAATTCAAATTAAAAATTAATGTCTTTGTTAGTTTGCAAAACAAAGTTGATATCTTTTTCAATTGTTATACATTCGGTATTGGAACATCGTTACTTGAAGTACATTCTGCGTTATTATTTTGCACGAATTGCGTTAATTGATACATATTTTATTATAATTATAGTTCCAATTTTATCGTTTCGTCATTTTAATTTTAAAAATACCGTCTATGTATAAAACGAAATCGAGATGTATATTGATAACCTTAGAATCTTGTAAAAAAATGAAAAAGTTCTTTTTATCAATCTGAGAAGTTATCAGAGATATTTAGCTGAAATATTTTACGGACACTTAAGTATTATAATTTTGTGTAAATGAATTATACGATAAATCTGGGTTCGTAAAGTTTCGAGACTCTACTTTCAAAATGAATTGTCTATTTTATTCTAAAATATTTTTAATAATTCTAGAAATTATAATATAATTATAATATTAATAAAATATTTTTATAATTTTTAAAAATTTTTATCACGCAGCAGGTGGTAAGTGAAGTTAGTAAAAATTGAAAAATTTTGTTCAATATTGAATGAGGAAAAAAATCGTAACATTTTCGTCGTTATATTCCTTTTTGCTTGGCAAAGTTCAATAAATTAGTGAAAAGAATTATATATATATATAAAGTTATATATTAAGAATTATATATATATAAGTTATAAATTAAGAATTATATATATATGTATAATACTTAGTAATATATATATACATATATACATATATATATATATATATATGTATATGTATATATTACTGAGTTATATATTAAGTTATAAATTAAATTGTTTGATTCTGTCATGAAAAGAATTTTATAAGTATATATACTTAGTAATATATACATATACATATATATATACATATATATATATAAATATTTTATTAATATTATAATTATATTAAGTTATAAATTAAATTGTTTGATTCTGTCATGAAAAGAATTTTTCAACGTTTTTTACATACTATGGAAATTTATAACATTTTCAAGACGAGAAGTGTCTCTGCTTTGTCAACTGTTACATACTATAAAAGCGTTTTTAGCAATAAATGATGCATTTTAAATCTTTAAGCTTAACGAGCCCAGTTAACTGTTGGCTTGTTCTGGAAACGCGCGAACGAAAGTTGATTTTCAGCCAATAAAGGAAATGGAATCACCGGTTTATCGTATCGCGACGCTTCGTTGAAATTCAAACTGGTGGTTATTCATGTTTTCATCGTTCAACGCGGAATCGATGTTTGCTATTCCACGCGTAAATAAAGTAAAAACTGTGTAAAATACCGTGTAAATGTGAATCGTTTAAAAAAAACTACCGTACAGAACGAGCTCTAGATACATATGAAAGCACAATTTCACATATCGTTAATTAATTTAATTAATTAGTCACTTAATTCGCAGTAATTAATTTATCGTTAACAAACCTGACGTGTAATTCACCGCAACCCGATTAACTAACAAACATCTTCAAACTATTAATTTAAGCGTAATGGCGTGGTGAATTTGAATTTCAGTTTAAACTGTGAAACCTTTAAGATGAAGAAATTCCATTTAATTTCATTTAATTTCATCTCATTTAATCAGAAAGTAATGATTCATTAACAACTGTAGTTAGGAAGTTTTCATACATTCAAAGATCATCACACTTATTAATTATTATAATTATATACATGTATATTGCACAGTTTAAATTGTATACTGTAACTTCACGAGAGAAGAATCATACAATAGTCTACCAATGACTTATTTTAAAGTGGAAAGGTTCTACTTTTATAACACTAAATTCGTTTTTCTTTTAAAAGCATTTTTACTTTTGTCACTTTGGACAGAATAAATGAAGATACTTTCTCGAAAACTTTACAAATTCAAACATCTGTAGGGAAATATGACAATTTCGTAAATTGAATCCATTTCGATTTTGAAGATTGAAGTAACAATCCCTCTTTGTAAAAATCCCTTAGAAGTTCATTGTACAATTTTTCGTTAAGTATACGAATACCTTCTACATCTATTATGCGTTTTCAAGAAAATTACTCGTGAAATTAACTAAAAATTTTCGGTATGAAACCATTCGTGAATCATTTGAGATCTCAACTCATTTTGTATATGACAATTTCAATAAATTCTCAATATTTTTCTTCGTACATAGAACATTTGATGCTTGTTTGATCTAAATTGATATCTAGATTGACGTAGATTTTTATACATCTACGAACAATTTTAAGACGCAAAAACGTATGTCAAATTTAAAATATAATACGTTTTGTAGTATTTAATATATAAAATAATTATTTACCTAAATTTTATATTTTTAATCATCTTTATAAAAATATAAAATTGCATAGATATCTACCTCTAGTTATATCTAAAATTTAATAGTGACCAAATTTAACCATTTATAGTGCAGTACTGTGGATAAATCAGTATTGATGATATATAGATATGATCAAATAAGATGATCACTTTGAGTATTGCCAAAGGTATAATGTATTTATAAATATATTTATTTATAATTATATTTATGTTGAATAAACGGACTATATATATATTTATTCATCTATAAATTAAGACTTCATTATTTAAATTTAATATGTTTACAAATAAATGCGAAAATTGTTCCCATTTGAGTAAATGAAATCATTTCCCTGAAATAGAAGACTCTTGAATCAAGTTGTGTTTCTCTCAGAAATTGGGAGTCATTCAAAATGTTAAATATTAACAATTTCCCAAAAATAAAAAATCTAGTGTTCGAATATTCACAACTATAAATAACCGTAGATAATAAATAATAAAAACAATCGCAATCACCGTTACATGCAATATCAACCAACACCATAAGTGGTAAAATACACTTACCAACAATCATTAAATCGTATTTCTACCTTCCTTTGAATCTTGATCGTAAAGGGGTATTCTGGTAATCCGGCTTGAGAAAAATCGACTTTTTGGTACATTTTGATATGCAGTTTTCGCAAACAGATTTATTCATACTTAAAGAGTATTTATAATTTTTTTTTTTTTTAACGAAATTAATTAAAGTTGTGGAAATTATATAGCCGTAGGTAAAGCATGTTTTTAAAAAAAGGGTTCGAATGGAACATGATTGCGATCCACCTGGTTATTTGAAACTAAAAAACTATTTTAATTAATTAAAAAATGCATCTTAATTAGTATAAATATGAATACCGCATGAACCACGGAAACAGCGAAATTTCGAAAATTAAAAAAATGGCAGCATTTTGAAATTAAAATATCGATTTTTCTTGTACTTTTCGTCTTTTGGGTGATAAAAAAGAAATAGAAGAAAAAAACATCAGATTTTGAAATTTATGGTTCATGCGATAAAGGTACATCTGGTGAAGATCTCCAAATTTCAAGTCAATCGGCCAACGAAAAGGTGAGATATCCCGTCAGTCAATTTAAAAAATATGGATTTGAGAAAGACACATTTGAAGTTACCCGTTATACAAAAATATTCATACTTATAATCCATCGAGCAGTACAAAAAATAAAATATTATAAAATAATAATAATATAAAAATAAATAATAATATATTATAAAATAATAATAATATAAAAATAAATAATAATATATTATAAAATAATAATAATATAAAAATAAATAATAATATTATGAAATAAAATATTTTTTTGAGAATAATACATTTGAAGTTTTTGTTACCGTTATACAAAAATATTCATACCTACAATCCATCGAGCAGTACAAAAAATGAAATATTATAAAATAATAATAATATAAAAATAAAAATAAATTATAATAATAATATAGAAATAAAAATAAATTATAATAATATAAAAATAAAAATAAATAATAATATTATAAAAATAATAATATAAAAATAATAAATAATAATATTATGAAATAAATATAATAAATATTTAATATTATGAAATAAATATAATAAATAATAATATTATGAAATAAATATAATAAATAATAATATTATGAAATAAATATAATAAATTAAAATGTAATAACTTTGCTAATTTTACGAATTCAAACAAATCCTTTTACATAGACATTTTCGAAAGCATATACTTCGAGAAAATATATATATATAAAAAAATTGATTTTTTTAAAGCCAGATTACCAGAATACTCCCCCCTCCACCCCTTAATAATGTCACCTATCTTTGAATCCAGGATGATAACCACCGTGCTACAGTTGTACTGGCCGCCAGAAGAGCCTCCGCCAATCGCGAAGAAGACGAACGTCGTTGGCATAAACGACAGCGAGGGCAGTTCCATCTGCGACGAGTGTCGGTCCGAGATCTCGAGCGACGCGACGAACGAGCCCCGAAGGGAAATCCTCCCGATATCATACGGCACGAACTGGCTGCCGAAGCCAGACTTCACCGGTTACAAGGACGCTCAGAGGAAAGTCTCGATGAAGTCTTTGCACACGGTAGCGGTGGTGAACGACATCCAGGACAACTCTGACGACCTGTCGCCTCGACAATTGCGTTACAAACGCGGATGTCACACGGTGATACCGAACAACTCCAGCGACCAGTCGAGCGGATGCTGACAAACAAAGAGGAATTAACCCGCGGCGTTATTGAAAGAGCGTGTTGGGGGGGGGGTGTTGCCACTGCGACAGACGGCTGCTACTTAAAACGAGACACGATTTCTTAGCTTAGGGAAATGGGAAATTTTGGCTGATTCGAGTGTCTGATTCGGGTCATTGTTGCTCGAACGGATGTCTGGATATAATCTGGAAATTAATTTTTAACGGCGACACGCGGCGATAAAAAAATAAAAGCGGAATGCTTACGAGCGTGTCGCGTGTACGTTTTATGTTTTACGAGTTCAGGCAGATCGGCGAAGTGGTACGAATTGGACTGTTCTCTTCGTGTTTTTGTCGATCGATCGATCCGGGACCAAGGGTACGTACAGTGGACGAAAGTGGTATTGGCACGCCAGTAGATTTTATCTTCCAATTACACGTTAACAAAATCTGTTTTCATAAAATTGCTACGCGGCAATTTTCAATAGCGAGCTTCACACGGAAATATAAAAGAGATATAAAAATTCGAGAGTCGACGAATTATGCAGTTGTAATTTAATGTTATTGGCAACAACTATTGGCGGAGTTCTATGCATTTAAAGGAAGTTTCAAATAGAGAACGTACTTTCTAAAAGTGCTTGCTGTGTAAAACAACTTCCAACTCGGGTTCTGTTTGATTATATTGTCAAAGGTATATAAATTGCATAAAAATTCACAGTCCTATTAATAGAAAAGCACTTTGTAAGCACTGAAATATTGAATGATTTAATATTCTGTTGAAATTTAAGGTAGAGCTGCAAACAGAATCTTCTAATGAATCATTGAAATCTAATTCAATCGATGAAAGTTATTTATATATATATGAATTTTTGCTGCAGTTCCACAGGGTATAAACAAGCGATATTATTTGACTAACGTGAAGGATATTCTGTAACAGTGTTCTAACAGTATTCCGTCATTAAATGTACATTAATCACTACAATCACACAGGTGTATCAATTTTTTTCACTTTCAAATTTCTTCTATTATTACCGTTATAACTCATTATTGAAAGTTACTATCGTGCAAGTTACTTTTGTATGTAGTGAACCATTCATCACAGATCTTGTTAACGTAAAATTTGTTTTCACAAAGGTGTTACAAAAAAGCCAAGTGTACTATACTTTTTCGATCCACTGTGTAAATAAAAAGAAAGTTGAGCAAACGATGCAAATGATGATTGTAGGGTTAGAAATTGACGAGTTCGGCTGGAGAAAATAGTACAATGAAATTTGTTGATCGATAACACGTCACTCTTGTCACTATATTGGCAATTTTTCTAGAAAAAAAGAAAATTCGTAAGTTTCTGTAAACTATGTGGATAATCATGTCACTTCATTCCGCCCCTATCTAGAAACGATTTATAATAATATAGATGTAAAAGATTATAGAAACTATTGTATTGTATTATACCATAAAAATTATACGCCTGCATATTTTTTCATAATCTCAATGCTCTTTTTATTGTTCCATTAATTTTAATCCTTTTTATTCTTCCATTAATTAATGCTTAATGCTCTTTTTATTCTTCCATTAATTTTAATCCCGTCGAGTGTTATATTTTTAATATAATATTTTTAAATTATCAGTTAAATTACAAAAAAAAGAAAAAAATAATAATTGAAAGATATATTTCGCGAATTTTGAAGTGTGTATGTACCATTCGTGGATTTTGTAATTTTAGAATGTATTGAACAAAACTTTCAAACAGAGTTTCGAATGAAACTGTCAAAATCTCTAATTAATTGTGAAACAACTGTTATTATCTTTTCTTTGCCGATAGAAACTGTTATAAAATGCAGCGAGTTATTAACTGAAACTTTTATTTCGTGCAAATAAGAAACTTCTATTTCTATGGAAGCAGAAAAAAAATTCTAGTTAAACAGAAACATTTATTCTGCTCTGAAAAAATTGAAGCTGTGGCGAGCAGATATTCTGGAAATATTATGGGGTAGATAGATTCGAAATTGAAATGTATTTCATAAATGACGAAAGTACCAAGAGTGGATTTAACTTGATACTAATGACGCTGTAAGAGCGGATACTGAAACACTATGAGGTTCTAAAAAAAGTGCCTGTAAAAAAAAATGACTAAACGATTGTCGGAATTAAATATACTTGTTAGGATAAATATTTTAGCCAGGCTAAAACGACGTTTGTTGAATCGGTATATTTTTAATAATATTTATTATTGCTTGCAAAGCAAGGAAAACTTTATCCAAACTGTGACAATGACATAAGAAGAACTATATTCGCGAAACGATTGAACTTTTCAATCATTCTGTCAATTGAAAATGATATAACTACAAGAATAGGACAATTTATACGAAATATACAAAAATCATTTACATTCTTACAAATAGTAAACTATATATTTCTTTATCATATTCCTTACATTACAATTATGCGAATTATAATAACACTTTATAATAAAGATTTTGTTAAAATTAATTGTTATAGGCTTTAACTTATGAATCCTAAAATGAAACGGAGTGCCAACGATGATTGGATCTAAGCTTCATGTTTCGCAAGAGTTAGATTCGCTATTGTTCAATTTCTCGAATTAGGCTAATTAAAAAAAAATTCTTAACTTTCACATTTTAATATCTGTTCGACAGTGTATGATCTTCCAAAACTTTTATTAATCAAATACAAATCCCTTACAAATACAACTCTTGCAAAATAATTAAAATTAACTTAAAACAGAAAGGAAACGAAAAATTAAAAATTCAATAAATTTAATCGTAAAATTAAATGAAATATGCATCATTCTGTTCAAAAATCTTCTGTTGTCTATTGGACAATATTATTACTCTTGTTTGTATAAAATTTTTTTTTCTTTTTAAGCAAGAAAATATGTCTAAGTGATTTTTGCAGTCGAAAGATCGATCAGATCAAGAAGCGAATCATTTTGATATTATGAATATCAAAATTTTCATCTTTGAAACGATATAAAAAATAAAATTAACATTTCGAGAGTTTCGAGTTTCAAAAATTTCGGATTCTGAGAGTTTAAAAATTAGTTTCGAATTCATTCCTAAGGAAATATTTGAAAAATGATGTAGCTATTTGATTCCTCTGACGTATTCGTCAGAACTTTTAATATATCGTGTATTCATTGCAATCGTGTCCTAAATTATTCAAAATCAACTCAAAGTTTAATTATCAAAACCAGACTGCTAATGTTTACGCAAATTCATATTTTGCTGAACACAATTACGGATTAAATTTAACTGTAAATGTCGACTTGTTTTACATTCTAATTAACGTACTTTAAATATCTTTTGGTCCAGTTCCATTAAAAGATAAATTTTGGGACGAAAAATCACGATTTTTTGTTTCGTTTCCAGACGAAATGTTCTGCAGTTAATTTTCAACAGTTTACTTTAACCGAGACCATAACTGTTCTGCTAAGATAAAGTTGATCTAAAACAAACAATATGCCTGTATCATTAATTACTAATAAAAATAGCCAAGACTTTATAAAGTTTGTTTAAACTTTTTGAATGTATTTAAAAACATTTATTTCAAGCAAAAAATCAATCATATTAACGGATTTGATTGCTCTAACAGAAATATTAAATAATATTTTTTTGCAAGAGTTGTATAAAAAAAGAAATTATTATAGAAAATTTGTTAATGCTCTGTAATGAAGTTAGTTCGTGTTAAACAAGAACGAATAATGTATACACGAAATAGGTAGTGACTCATTTTTCATTCTACATTCCACACATACAATATTTGTTCGTAACTCTGTAACAAATTTTACATAATATTGTTTCCTTTCTTTTGCCTGAAAATTAAACCTTCACAGTTTGGCTATGATAGATTTGGGACACTCTGTATAAAAATGCAAATAAATTTCTATTTAAACTCTACTTCTTTGATTTTATAAATTTAAAAATGCATAAAGATCCGCGGTCTAGTAATATGTAAGAACGATTTTTGCACAATTACTAAATAAAAGATGCAGTTACTCGCATTAACATTTGAACATTAAATATTTAAATTGTTACAATTTCGTAAAACAAAGTCATAATTATAACAACAAGCTTGAGGCTCTTCTAGTCTTAAAATACATTCAATTAACTTCAAGATGTTTATACATCACGCACAGTGTGAGAAAAATGCTAGCTGTTATAGTTTTGATTTAAAAGGATCACGATAATCGTGATTTTTCGTCCCAAAATTGCAATATTTTCTTTTAAGTACATTTAAATATAACCCAGGCAAAATAAACAATAAATTTATCACTCCTCAATGATTTCTATCATATACCGACGAGTTTAAGGAGACAGCGACGAATTACTGTACACGGTCATTCGTTATGGTCCGCGAACCAGTTGCCAGCGCAAGGTGGTTAATATTAACTTTTGGTCGCAACTTTCCTCTGTCAGATTATCGAGAATGCCTCGAAAATAGTGGCGGCAGCTGAATGAGACACCCCTGCGTACCGTTGATCTCTTTTTTTTTTTTTTTTTTTAATTATTTATCGAATCCAAGAGTCCTAGAGGCCCGAGCCACAGGACAGCTTCGCTCCAAGTTTCTGGCGGGGGTATTCGCGACCGCGCATGCGTTTCAAAAGGGGTAACTACTCCCCAACTCGCGGCCAAACGTTATTCTATTGCGACATCCCTTGCAGGGTGGATCGACACGAGGAACTCTCGCCCGGATCTAACGCGCAATAAAACCGACTTTCAACCGATGGTACGACGTCGGACCGTGTCGTTTGTTACTCGTTACGAATAACTTCAGTGAGAAACGTTGTTAATCGGATCAGCGAGTATCTCGATTCTGGTTGGACAAGTGGAACGAAGCGGAGTCTGTGGTCCACCACGACGGCGGAGAGTCGGGCGTCAACGAATTGTTTTCCTCTGCGGACGTCGTCCTCCGACTATTGAGCTACCGAAGAATGCAAACGATCGATTAGGAGGAAGAGCCATTCGAAGAAGGATATACCGGTTACGGAACTTACGTGCGTTTTGGTGAAGCTTGGATCGGGTCGGAGGGAGATCGTTGATCTCGTTGTTACCTTGAAATTCCGTGACTCTAAGGTAAGACAGATCTCTTTCAATTTAATTTAATTTGCTAATCTCGATTTAATTTAATTTTGCTAACGTGACTATTCGTTCGAGGAACACGCGAAACTCGAATCAAATTTACTATTTTTGTGAACGAAGTAAGAATTTATTTTACCTCTCGGTATCTAGATTCTTTTCACTGAAACTGTAAATTGAACATTTTTTTTCTTTTTATGGCTGCAACAGCCAAATAAGTAGACTGCGGATGTTTGACGATCTCAAAATGTATTGAAATATATACGAGTAATATGTGCAAGAAATCTGTGAAATATACATTGAAATATGTGATAACAACAACAACTTTATTTGTTATTTAGAATTAATGTGATAAAAAATAATGATTAATATCATTGATTACAATTCAAATTACAATAAACTATATAAGCGTCTTTAATGCAGACAAATGATAATAGTTGTTAGTTGAAATTAATATAGGCAGAAAATGATTGTTGACATCACACGATGCAAGTGCAGTGTATCTAAATTTACTCCAACAGCGATCTTTAATTTTTATTAGCAATTTCAGTTCCTAGAATCTTAACAATTTGCGATATTTGCAACCAAAATTTCTTTTCAAAATAATCTTTTGCATTCCAGTTCAAAATAATCATGACTTTAAAAACATGATATTAAAAAAAAAACATAAATTTTATTATTTTACTTATTAAATAATAAATAATATATAACATATATATTTAATTTCAAAAATTAATATCAATCTAACAATTACATAAAAATTTTTTAATTTATTAATTTATATTCGTTTTATAATTTATAGTTAGGGTGTGAACCTAAAAGCTTATATTTAGCTTATTATATGACATTAGATGTCTGATAAAAGAATTAATTTTCATCGTATTGATGATTTCACAGAATCAATTAATTCCATTCGTCTTTAACTTTATTTAAATATTAAATTTTTTTGCAATTTGTAGTTGGTGATATTTATATTAAATAATAATAAATATTAATCCTTTTTACGGATACTAATAATCTGTTTCTGTCGAAGTACCAACTCCGTGCCAATTTAATTCCACTTGCATTGCTTCACAAACAGATCGTTTCTTTCTTTGTCACTTCAATTCGAGAAAATCCATCTCGCGATTCGTCGTGGCAACTTTAATTTTTTTCTTCCTTCCCTTTTTGTCAACGAACAAAATCATTCGTATCAAAAATCCCCCACGCCACACACAGATCAAATCGATCCACGTAAGAAAAGAAATGGAAATCAAAAGACCAGTATACAAATCCACGTGTACGCTGTAATCTGACACAAAGCTTATTGATTTTATGTTCAGCATCCGTGGTGCGTACATGAATATTTGTATACAAGCGCAGTTGTGTACGTTCGCGCGCGCGCGCGCACACACTCTCACGTGTGTCAAACTCACACAATGATGATAAAACGTGAACGCACATGCATGTGCAGCGTAGATATGGGCAAGTAAGAAGCGGACACATGTACGTTTTCTCTATTCCGTGTCTGTTCGTTGATTCTGAACCGGCTTGGTGGTAATAAGGGTAGCGGGACGCGCATTAAGGGGCATCCACATTTGTCACTGCTACTTGTTAGTGTTAATCCTTGCCGCTATCGTAACACATCGTAACATATCGTCCCACTTGTTTACTATCTTAGTTTTCGATTCTACTTTTAATTATGCGTCGGTATTGGTGTGACCAACTATCTTATGACGCAATTGCTAGATATAATAATGTAACTCAAATCTAAAGGTGCGTTCAGATTTGTTACCGTTACCAATTATAAGAAATATATCATGGTAGAAAATGTAAACAGCATTATTTCACTTTCACTACGTACGTCTGTAATTTAAATAGGTTATGATTTGTTATCATTAAACAACCATATGTATAATGGAAATTAATTATAAAAAATACATACCCAATGCAAAATTGCTAAATGCTAAATCATTATTTATGATTGTATAATCAAGTCCATCTGTAGAAATATTTTTACATTTTCGTATTATATATATGTAAGTTGATGTAAAATGTTCGAAATTATTATTTTGAAAAAGTATTAAAATATTAAATTTCGTTAAATATTTCACGCACGTTTTACATTCATAAATCAGAAAAAAAGTTCGTACATACATACTTGAATAGATAGATAGATAGATAATTTTATTTTTCGGCTTCACAGCCATGAAAGTGGACTTGGTTTACATTTCTCTTTTTTTTTTTTCATATTCTTTGTTTCTCTTACTCTCGCTCTTCACTCTTCATATCTGTTATATACTCTATACTTTTGTGCCATACTTAACAATTTACACTAACCTACACTATACTTTTATGCTATACTTAACAATTTAACCTCGATTGTATTGTCTAACTCCTCTTTCACTTATCCTAGATTGCCCTTTTATTTTCTATCTTATTACTCTAATTATTTATCCTATATATATTATTAGGATATTATTTAGGATATATATATATATATATATATATATATATATATATATATATATATATATATATATATATATATATATATATATATATATACGAATGTACTGTGTATTACATACTTGAAATATAAATTAACTATCTATATGTGATGGGAAAATTCCATTAAAAGTGAATTCATTTGAAGTGTATATAATTTTTTATATTATTGCATATGATTTTTTGCGTGATTGTCATCTGATGTTTCACTAGATAACTATTAAACGTCAAACGTACGTGCAATCGTTATTTGCATAAGCATTAATGACTTTCCGCGACTTACACGCGATATGAACTGAAATACGAACGATTACATTGTACAGGGGGTGTATCGTAATATGTAGAATTCATTTTCAGAATGAACAACAACAAAAATTCGTATGGACGTGCATCTTATTTGACCTCGTTTCAAAATTATATTTTTATGTTTCTGAGGAAACAATTGTGTACTCGACACCTGTCACCAATGTTGAAGTACCATCGTGTACAGATTCGTCATGAACTTTTGAAAGCTTGTGAAATTCCTTAAAATTGCATACAAACTGAGGATGAACATCTTTTACAAAAGTTGCCGATTGTCAAAACGTAAAAATGACTATAACCTTGAAGTAAAGTTAAATTAAAAAAAAACGTAAAAATGACTATAACTTTGGAATAAAATTAAATAAAAAGAAATGTGAAAATGATTATAACTTTGAAATAAAATTAAATTAAAAAAAAAATGTAGAAATGATTATAACTTTGAAATAAAGTTAAAGTAATAAAAAAAAAAAAACATAAAAATAATTATAACTTTGAAATAAACTTGAATAAAAAGAAACGTAAAAATGACTATAACTTTGAAATAAAATTAAATAAAAAAAACGTAAAAATGACTATAACTTTGAAATAATGTTAAATAAAAAAACGTAAAAATAAATAACTTTAAAATAAAGTTAAATAAAAAAAACGTAAAAATGACTATAACTTTGAAATAAAGTTAAATTTAAAAAAAACGTAAAAATGACTATAACTTTGAAATAAAGTTAAATAAAAAAAAACATAAAAGTTAAATAGGACACGTATGAATTTTCTTCATTTTGGTGTCCATTTTCCACCCCATATGTTACAATACACGTTATATATATACGTATGTATACATATATGGATATATCGTGATTTGTTGGATGAACATCAATAAAATAGTCCGCTCCAAACGAAATATTGAACGCGCTATCTTTTGAACGACTTTGGGCATTAACAAGATTTAGAGAAACGGATCCTGCAACAAAAAACTTCCTTTCTTCATGCAGAAACCTTTCGTGTGATTGTCCCTTTCAAGAGTAGAGAGGGGAATTTTTCAGTTGATTTTCATTCAATCACAAGAGATCGCATTCAAAATAACTCCATGAAATCGGCACCGACACGTAGTTAGACAGGGGATTTGACGCAAGAAAACAAGAGTGAATTTTAATGTCGAACTTTTTTATAGTATGGTTTATTAACGACCATATTATTTATGATGACATTATCGTAACTTCATGTAATTCTTGGTAATTAATAACTGTCAAAGTGTATTATAAATTTAAATATATAGCTTACGTCACGTAAAATGTTACAAGCTGGATTTTCTGAAATTATTGCATCAATTTAAAATTTTAGCGCATTAAATGGCGCAGAGGAATATTTTATGAGTTTCTTTTCAGGGATGGAGGGAATGCAATTTTCATTATTTAGAAATGGAACAGCACATTAATTAATTTTTGGATATTCAGAAATACGATATCAAATTGAAAAAATTTTATCTAAGTAATTGGTTTCATTCAACTGTAGATAATAAGTTCTGGTGACGAACAATTTTCTTCAGAACTTTTAACTTTGAATATTAAATATCCAATTTCTATTTTCCATTCATTTCTATCTTTTATGTATTGTATTATTTATTTATTTCATTTTCATATTTTTCCGTATTGTTAATAACATTCTTCAGGTTATTGAGGCACAAATTACTCTTTTTTCTTTTTTATTATATTTTTTTATGTGTCCTTTCATCATCATATTTTTCATCTATCTTATTTTCACTTGTAGAACATATTGGCAAAATTTGAGCAATAAAACTCGGGATATTCGAGATAAATATATTTTTGCATTTATTTAAAAGTCGCGTATTAATCGTTAAAGATTTAATATCGAGTATCAAAAGTTGGATGTCAAAAGATTGAGTAGCTGTCGTTACCAATGAACTATTTTATGTATAAAGTATATATTTTTAATTAAAGTTGTTCTTTTTTTATTACTATGTATATACAGATCCAAATGACATCAAATCACAATATTTGCGCAGACATCTGGAATTTTTGCAAATTTTCCCTTTTCCAAATCACTGAAGTGATATATATATATATATATATATATATATATATATATATATATATATATATATATATACTATCAAGTGACGTACCTTCAAAAAGTCTTCATTTCTCAAACAATTAAGAAAACCTAGATCTCTAGGAACTGTTACAGAAAAC